TATATATATATATATTGTCGCAAGGATCATGGAAAGATTTCTTCCTTTCAGCTTAAGCTTAAGCTTAATCTGTTTTCACTTTTTACTTTGAAGTTCACAGTGTATGTTTATCTGGGTTTCAGGAGGACGTTCTGTAATCAGATTTTACAGATAATTAAAGATGAGGGAGCATTTAGTAGTATGCACTCCTTTCTAGTCTATCTTCAAATGGCTCCAATTGAGCAGCAGCCATTGGTTGCTAGCCTCCTTCTCCAGCTTGATCTTCTGGTTTGTTTCTTATATCTAGTATTATAGTGGACCTATGCAGAGATGAACTTCTCTGTTCTAAAGAATTACAGCTCTTACACATGATTTTCAGGTTGAACCTCGAAAGACAAGCATTTACAGGGATGAAGCTATTGATTCAATAATAGAAGCTCTTAAAACAAAAGATTTTCCTCTTTGCCAAATCATTGCTCTAGAGACATTATTTTCTCTGACTGGGCGGTTGAATGCTTCAGGGGAGCCTATAACTGAAGCATGGTTATTGAAGATTGCTGGGGTTTATCAGCTAAATAGCATCTTGAAGGATGAAGAAGAAGACGGAATCTCTATTGATGTCGTGGAATCAAATGTGGTTTGTTTAATTTCAACTCATTCTATCTTGTGTTTCATTTGCGTCATTGTTTTCTCATATTAATTTAGGTTTGCTTTGCACATTAATCTTCAGGAAGAGGAAGCAAAAGCTATGAGTATTTGGGAGAGAAGAGTGGCCTTTGTACTATGTAATCATGAAAATGGTGCGATTTTTAAGGCACTGGAGGAATGTCTAATGAGCAAGTCCATGGAGATGACCAAGTCATGTCTTGTTATTGCTACATGGCTCATACATATCCTCAACATTCTTCCAGATACTGGTGTGAGAGTTATTGCAAGTCGCTGTTTACTTGATCACTTGTTAGATATCCTTGAATCATCTAAAAGCATGGAGGAGAAAGTCCTTGCCACCTTGGCTTTGAAAAACTTGTTTAGTGATCCAGGTGATTTAATGTTTTGTCTGGTGTTCTTAGTGTTCCCTTCATGAACTATGAAATTAAATTTTTGGTTGCAAGATTTCAGATTTAGATAAAGGAGTTGTAGCGTATGCAAAGCGAATTTACAAGCCTTTGAAGAAACTTAAAAGGTATTCTTCACTGGTTGCGGAAACCCTGAAAGAAATAATGAACTTGCCATCTGTTGACACGGTGAGTACTTTGGCGTGTTCTTTGAAAAATTTTGAGCGTTGTTGTTAATTCTCATATTTCATTGACTTGTCTTTCAGTCAGAATTCTGGTCTTGTGCGGAATTATTTGAGATAGACTCAACTTTTAATGGTGAGGTATTGTCCCTGGTTCATTCGAGAGGTCGGCTCTTTAGCAGCCACTCTGATGGAACTATTAAGGTAAGATTTATCTCATGCAGCATTCTTATACTTTGCATCACATATATGCATTACATAAATCATATAATTGGTTCAATCTAGAAAGTGCAAATTGTATAGGCATGAGCCAATGTTGGATAAGATTTGAAATTTGAGGAAGGTTGTTATGGTTCAAGGTGAACCGACCAAATCGGCCCAGGTGGGGCCTGTTCAGGTCTATATGAGGCAGCCCAAGCCACCTGCCTCCTTAAGAGTTGTCCGCCCAAACATGTGGCCCCCCCACCCCCTTGGGCGGCAATTGGAGAGAGGGAAGGGGGCGGCTAAAGCTTTGGAGGCTAATTTGAATTTGGTTTATTTTAGGAAGTTTTTTATTAGGAAGATATGTATTTAAAGAAGATGAGAGGCTAAGGTTAGGGCATGCATGATTATTGTTTTTCTTGGAGTTCTCTTTGGTGTCTTGGGCTCTAGGCTTCTCGTCTAGAGATTGGGAGAGAATGACCCTCCTCTCGAATTGAGGATCAATTTTATATTTGTTTCGTTCTTGCTTCGCTTTGATTTCTATAAAATTATCTAGTGATTTTGATTGCTTTCACCCAAATTCTTCTATTTTTCTCGCTGATTTTACCGATTATTATTAGGTTTGCTTGCGAACTCAATTATTCCCATTAGGGTTACTTGCAAACTCAAGTATTTCCTATCAAAGGTCTTGCTAAATCAGCATCATACTTTTTCTGTAGGTGTGGGATGTTGGGAAGAGGGGATGGCAGTTGATTCAAGAAGTTCAAGGACACTTGAAGGCGGTTACTGGCCTTCATATTCCTCTATCAAGTGATAGATTATACAGTTGTTCTCTTGATAAAACCATCCGAGTACTTATCATTTGCTTTTTCATTGAATTACGTATTTTGCTTGCTTACGTCCCTTAAATATTTTAACGCTTTTTATCTCAATTGGTCATTTCCCTTTTTGATGGAATTACATACTTTCCTTGCTTTGGTCCCTTAAATATTTTAGTGCTTTTCATCTCATTTGTTTGATAGAAAGACTCAGTATTCTGGCTGTTACTTTCTTCTTTATGCCACATAAACCCGGAATCGACATGTTTGTAACAGTAGTAGCTGGTCATACTTACTAAGGATATATCGAGTATTGACGTTAGTCTAATTTGTTATTACAACTGTGAAAAATGCCGACAAGTTTTAATTGTCAGGAACCGCATTGTGGGCTTTAATTTTTTAGGTATTTATACTTTGCGAAAGATAGGACTATGCTTTTAACCCCATTGTGTTCCATCAAATTTATTTTTCAGCCGTTTTAAGTCCATATTTGATGTGATCATGTTGCTTTGATATCATTTGAGCTTTCCTGCTTGCATGCATAAGCCTTTTGCACACATATTGATGCATAGATTACTGTACACATACAAACTTAAGTACGACAGACATAAAGTCTTGGTTTTCATCTATAATATTGAAATTAGGTAAAGTCATTCAAGTTTACATGCTTTTAGTTATCAATCAAGTAATTCCAAGAATTTAGAGAAGACTCGTGTTGATGATATATGATAGAAAACAACCACCAATAGTGCATAAATAAGAGGAATACTCACTTCAATTTAAACAATAGAAGAAGAAAACAACAAACCGATACAAGAATCTTCAAGTCAAGAGGAAGATTCAACTCTTCAAATCTCAAGCCAAAACCTAGAGCCCAAAAGTAAAACCTAGATCTCAAATTCAGCCTTCAAATTTAAGATAACCCTAACCCTAGCAAGAAGAGAGTAAATAAAACAAAAGGATAATTACAAAATCCCTAAACAACCCCTAATTTCAAATTTCCCTCCAATATAACACTAATTAATGTGTGGGCCCCATCACATTAGCCTCCCCCTCCCCCCTCTCTCTCTTTCCCTGGTTCCGCCCCACCCCCTGGCCCACCATTTGTAGGCTTGAATCGGTCCAAAATGGACCGGTTCAGCCGACGCTCCTTGGGCCGACCTAACATTACTCTCCTCCCAAAGTCTCACATTGTCCTCAAGGTGAAATGAAGGAAATTGATGCTTCACCCTCTCATACGGTTTCCAAGTGGAGTCAAAGTCTGAAAGGCCCCTCCATTTAATCAGCACGTCTTTATTCTCCTATGTACCTTATATCACCCCTTTTAGTTCCAATGGTTCTAAGACCACTTCCAACTCCTCAGTCAGTGTTGCCGGTAGCTCTGCACTAACTGTAGACTACCCTATAGCTTTCCTCAACTGTGACACATGGAACACTGGTGTATGGTGGCGGTCGGGGGTAACTTCAACTGGTACGGCACTGCTCAAATCCTTTCCACTATCTCGTATGGCCCAAAATATCTTGGGGTCGATTTCTCGTTCCTCCTATGAGCCACTGTCTTCTGTATGTAGGGTCGCAATTTTAAGAACACCCTCTCCCCCACTTCAAATTGGATGTCCCTCCTATGAGCATCTTTCTTCTTCTTTGTTATCTGTTGTGCCCTCAGCAGGTGCCTCTTTAATTCCTCTTGCAGCCTATCCCTTAATTCCAAGTGCTGATCCACTGACGAGACTGGCGTGTTTCCTTTCCCAAAATGAACCAAGTGTGAAGGGTCCCTTCCATTCAACACTTTAAAATGGGTCATCTGAGAAGCTGAGTGGTACGATGTATTGTATCAATATTCAGCACAAGCTAAACACGTGGCCCACATCCGTGGTGTTTCTGAAGCAAAACACCTAAAGTAAGTTTCCTAGCTTCTATTGACTACCTCCGTTTGCCATCCGTCTGAGGGTGGTAGGCGGTGCTTATCTTAAGAACTATACCCTGCAACATGAACAACTCCCTCAAAAACTGGCTGAGAAACACCTTATCTCGGTCAGAAATTATCGACTCTGAAATTCCATGCAACCTAACCACCTCTCTAATGAATGTTGTATCCACTATAAATGTGGTATAGGGGTGTCGTAAGAGAATGAAATGCGTGTATTTACTCAGCCTGTCAACCACCACCATAATGACTGTGAATCCCTCAAATCATGGTAGGTCATTTATGAAATCCATGGACACTCCCTCCCATACCCTGTTTGGAAGTGATAAGGGTTGTAGTAACCCTACTAGAGCCATAGCCATGTACTTGTTTCTCTAGCACATCTCACACCTTGCCACCATCTCCTTCATGTATTTATGCATACCCTTCCAATATAATTCAACCGTTAGTATTTTGTATGTCTTCTGTAACCCAGAATGACCACTAACCGCACTCCCATTAAACTCTTACAGTAGGTGGGGAATATGGATGGAGGTTCGTGGCACACAAATATCCCTTGGTATATGTTAACCTCTATACAAAGAAACAAAAATAGCAAAAATCTGTACGTACCTCGGACTGAAATCCCGCAAATTCTGCCGCAAATCGCGCCGATTCGGCGCCGTTCGCGTCGTTTCTCCGCAAATCCCCCCCCCCCCCCCCAATCCACCATCAGGGGTACTGAAATGGTCATCTCCTAGAGCTCTCCCCCACACCTGGATAAGGCATCAACCGCCTTATTCTCCAACCCTGGTCAGTATTGGATCTTAAAATTGTATCCTAAGAGTTTGGACAACCACCTCTGATGTTCCTCAGTCACCATCCTCTGCTCCAGTAGATACTTCAAACTCGTTTAATATGTTCTGACGATGAAGTGCCAACCCAGCAGGTATGGATGCCACTTCTAAATGGCTAAGACGATGGTCATCAATTCCCTTTCATTCATAGGCTTCAGCCTAGCTCTAGATGTCAACACTTGACTAAAGTAGGCTATGGGTCTATGATTCTGCATCAGCACTGCCCCCAACCCATGTCTGAATGCATCTGTCTCCAGCACAAACTTAAATCTGGTAAAGCCAAAACCGGTACTATGGTCATGTCCTTCTTCAGTCTTTCAAAAGCTTGGGTAGCCGCTTCCCCCTACAAGAAGCCATCCTTCTTTAACTGCTCTGTCAGAGGCCAAGTTATATTGTTGTACCCTTTTACAAACCTTCGGTAGTTACTCGTCAATCATAGGAAACCCCTCAGCTCTCTCAAGTTCCTAGGTAAAGGCAACTTTTGCATTGCCTCAATTTTGGCTTGATCGGCTGTCACCCCTTCATGTGATACCACATGCCCCAAATACTCCATCCTAACCTGTGCGAAGCTGCACTTCTTCAGGTTGACCATTAACTGATGCTCCTGTAGAACTTCAAAGACCACCCTCAAATGTTTGAGATGCTCCCCTTCGGTCTTGCTGTACACCATTATGTCATCTAATAAAACTAAGATATACTTTCGGAGGTACGACCGGAACACCCTGTTCATCATTAAGGACTGGAAAGTAGCAGGGGCGTTAGTAAGCCCAAACGGTATCACAAAAAACTCTGTGTCTCTCTTGTGTCTTGAAAATTGTCTTCTGAACATATTCCTCTTCCATTCTTATTTGATGATAGTCCGACTTCAAGTCCAACTTAGAAAACATCACTGCACCATACAACTCTTGAAGTAGCTCATCAATCATAGGAATAGAAAACTTATCCGGCATAGTCTCCTTATTCAAGGCCTTGTAATCCACACAAAACCTCTAGCTTCCATCCTTCTTCTTGACTAATACGACTGTACTAGAGAAAGGACTTACACTCGGCTTAATGATCCCTACTTCCAACATCTCACAGATCAGCTTATCTATTTCATCCTTCTTAATAGGAGGGTAGTGGTACGGATGATCACTGATTAGTGACACCCCTTCCTTCAGTCTAATGGCGTGTTTCAGCTCCCTCTGTGGGGGTAGGCCTTTGGGTGGTTGAAAAATCCCCTTGAACTGCTAAATGAGTGGTTGTACTGACAAAGAAATGTCTCCCCCTACCTCTAATGTCATCCCTTCTAAGCTCTGGATTTCCACCAGGATCCCTCCCCCCACCTCCTGTATGGTCCTGATCATGGTCTTGAGAAACACCATGACTCTATATAATCCTGCATCTCCTTGAATCACCATCCTCCTTCCCTCCACCTCCAGTTCCATCCTCAAGCTCCCCAATTTACCTTGGTATCTCCTATGGTTTGTAGCCACTTCATCCCCATGATGATGTCAGTGCTTCCCAATTTCAAGGGAAGGAAATCATCTCTCACTCAATCCTCTGAATAGTAAGCACTACTCCTCTACATACTCCTCTACCCATCTTCACCTTCCATGTGCCCATCATCACCCCCATAACCCCCGGTATCCGCTAATTTCACCCCCAACAAATCAATAATATGATTGGAGATGAAATTGTGGGTGGCCCCACTATCGATTAGCACCACCACATCTCTATCATTTATCTCTACTGTCACTTTTATGGTGTGATTCGAGGTGAATCCCACCATGGAATTCAGAGAGACTTCCGCCACGTCCAGATGCAGCTTCTCCTTTTCCTCTTCCACTGTCCCACCCTCACCTCCTTCTTTAGCTTACTCGTCATCATAGACGATGAGAACCTAAAGAGTTCAGTCCTTGCACCTATGCCCCGACATGTACTTCTCGTTACTTCTGAAGCATAACCCCCTTGCTCGCTTCTCCTGCAACTCCTCTGTGAGCTTCTTGAAATTTTCCCCAAAACCTCCTCCTCTAGTCTTCTCCTTCGAGACTTCTCTCAGACTCCTCGGTGCGGGCCCCTTTGGAGCTAAGAAGGTGATGGTCATCCTATACTGCTGCCCCTAGCCCCCCTCTCCAGGTACTTTGGTCAGGGTGGAGAGCTGCTCATAGAAGTCTCCTCCCCTACTGGTTCGGAAACCTTCTAGTAAACAGTCCTTGAACTCCCTCCAACTCCGAATGGGTCGCCTCATGTCCCTCCACTGGTACCACGCTAATGCCTTCCCCTCCAAACAAAGTCCTGCCACTATCAATTTCTCCTTATCTGTCAACCCGTTAACTGCAAAGTATCTTTCCACCTTGTATATCCACTATGTGCGTCTCCGCCCTCAAAGATGCGCTTCTTCAGCTTCCTTACTCTCAGGTCACCTCTATTTCCCCTGAATTCTCTGTAGTCGCCCATTCCTCGCAATGGATGTTCTCCGCAAGTGTTATGCTCTACCCTTCAGCGCTCGAACCCAAGGCCTTCTTCAAAATCTGCTCTCCTCCTTTCAAAATCAGTACCTCGGCATTCATATTCCACACCTCTCCTTGTAAAATCAGCACCCCTTTGTTCGTACCCGCTACATATCTTCTCCCTAGAAAGCGGCTCTAGCGGAGGCATTCCGCCTCCTCCATCCAGAATCTCAACTTTTGGATTTATTCTCTCCCTAAACAGGTTCGGGTTTCCACCTCTCCCATGTCCGCCAGTGGTTTCCTTTGCTTCCAACACCGGCGGTTTGGGTTTGTCTTCAAGTAGCTTCTTCAACATTTCCTCCACGACGGCGGACCTTCCATCTATCTTTTCATGGACGGATGCAAACTGATTTTGAAAATTAGAAGTTTTCTTTTCAAAATCTGATTTTAGTTGACCTAAGTCTCCCTCCATAACTTCCACTTTCCTTCTAGCCATTGATTCCCCTTAGATCGATATGCTCTGATACAAATTTGATAGAAAATAGCCACTAATAGTGCAAAAACTTGCTGAATTTAGGAGAAATTCAGCAAAATGGTGCAGATTTTTTAAGCTTTGTAGAAAAATAAGAGTAATAATCACTTCAATTTCAACAATAGAAGAAGAAAACATCAAACCGATACAAAAATCTTCAATTCGAGAGGAAGATTCAACTCTCCAAATCTCCAGCCAAAGCCTAGAGCCCAAAAAAAAACCTAGATCTCAAATTCAGTCGTCAAATTCAAGATAACCCTAACTCTAGCAAGAAAAGAGTAATTAAAGGCTTAAAGCAAAAGGACAATTACTAAATCCCTGAACATCCCCTAATTTTAAATTTCCCTCCAATACAACACTAATTAGTGTGTGGGCTCCATCACATAACCCCACCCCCCATTTATATATGCATGTATATGTGGATGGAGGCTTTTCATTTTTATTGATATGCAACTTGTAGGAAATTATGCATATTGATATAAAAATGAGCCAATTGTATTAAAAAAAGAAAAAAATCAGTAAATTGGTTTTTAATATTAGTTGATTTTTAGCTGTCTTTGATTGAATTGAGCCAAATTAATCCAAGTTGGCAGAAGATTGGATATGCTCAAACCATAATCAGTTCACAAGGAAACCCTTATATATTCAATCCTATCTTAAATTGAGATCAGCCTATAGGCACCACGAAGTTTTTCCTATTAATAATCCCAAGCATTTTTCTATATTATTGTCATTTTATAGGTCTGGACAACTGAACCAGAAATTCATAGCCTTCAGGTTTATGACATGAAAGAACCAGTTCACTGCTTGACTGCTAATGCCAGTATTTTGTGTTTCTCATCTCAAGGATCAAGCGCCAAGGTCAGTTTTTTCTTTTGCATATTCGCTTATTATAGGCAACCATGATCGTCAAAATCTTCTTCTTACACTAGCAGATCTCTAACTGGATTGGCATGCCAAAGCAAGTTAACGTCAGCAAAAATGTGAAATGCATGGCCATGACAAATGAAAGTTTATATTGTGGCTGCACTGGCTACAGCATCCAGGTCTCGTTACAAGAATAACATATCTGTTTTAGTAGAAATTTATTTATTCCCATTCAAACAACATGAGCTATAAACTCTTTAGTAATCCCCTGCATTTGTTAAGGCTATGGGATGAAAAGGGTTTAATGACTAATTGGACAATTCAACTAGTGTTCAAATCTAGATTTTCTTGTGCATGATGAATTGTTAGTTTGTTTTGCAGGAAGTAGATCTGAAGAGGTATACATCAAATACATTTTATTCAGGAACAAGGAAATTGTTGGGCAAACAGACTATACATGCCCTCTGCATTCAAGATGGTGTTCTCTTTGCTGGCGGGTCTTCTGTTGATGGAATCGCTGGGAAGGTGAGTGTGATAAGTCAATTGACTCTATTCAGAGATTTCCCCGTGCTCCATTCTTTACAGTCGTGTGTTACTGTTCATTCTTTCTGTTTCAATGGACGTTTTGGGTGAGGTCTACCGCATTTTCAGTTATATTTCCCCCAAGGGTATAGGGCCACTATTCATACTGCATTATACAATTACACATGATCCCATTAGGTAACCACCCTTAAATGACTGCATCTGTGGTTGAGATTAAGGTTTCGTTTGGGACGGCTATCATATTGCTTTTTAAAGTAGATTTTTAGTATTAAAATTTTAATTTTTGAACTAAAAAGTCGCTTTAAGTAGAAGTAAGAAAATCATCTCAAATGAAACCTAAAACTGCAGTTCTAAGATTTTAATCCTTGTAAAATAAGTGTAGCCATATGTACTATGATAGCTACATCGAGACCAAAAAAATAACATAATAGAAAATATCAATATGCAAAACACAAGAAGTTTATGCAGGGTCATCCATCATGTCTATGTTGCAATTAATTTCAATACCCAAAATACTATAAAATTCATATAATACCTTTTATTACATAACCGGCAAACATGGTCTACTTTTCAGGAATGACCTGCCCCCTTCCTCCCCCACAGTGGAAAAATTATTCTGTGCGGATACCGAATGATGTCCAGAGACCAATAAAAATACGCTACGTCATCTTTTTAATGTACAGCGGCTCTGTACTGATCGGTACTCGATATCAGTACTGATGTTTGGTTTTTCAGCATCCGGATGTAGAGCTGCGTCCGGTGTTCGCACAGGATAATTTCTCCCCACGGTGACCTTACCGTAAAGGTCAACTTCATGCTAAGTCTACAACGTTTTTTTTTTTTTTTTTTTTTTTTTTTAGAATTTTTTTTTTTTTTGTTCTCTTTTTAGAACAAAAATTAGGTCCCACAACATAACATCAGCACACATTCAAGCCTCGTTTGAGACGGATAAATTTCACCTTTTCTGTTTCGAGAAGGCACAATTATTTTTTGGTTGACGTTTGTATACGACGCTTCTATAGAAATGCTTTTTACGGAACGTCATTTTTCTACTATTTTGAGAAGTTTTTTTATATTTGCTTATCTGGTAGAAACCACTGTTTTATCAACCAACATTTTTAAAACTATCTTTTACAAAAGGTGCCAGACAACCAAATGAAGCCTCAAACTATTATTTGGAAGTCTTTGTAAAGTTGTTGCATGCCAACATGGAAAAAAAAGTACTGGAGTAACCAGCATAGCTACTTAACAAAGAGATATTGGATGCCACATAAAAATCAAAATGCTATCTTAGTGTATTACCCAAAAACAGTGCTAGAAATTAATAATTTAAGGATACCAAGAACAGATAGTCCTGTCTATTTTTCCTTTATATATTTCTTATTATTAGACATTCTGCATTCCAGGTATTCTCTTTGACAACAAAAACCGCAATAGGATCTTTTATGACAAATTCGGACATCCACAGTATCGCTGTAAACGATGATTTTGTTTTCACTGGTACTAAAAATGGATTCATTGAAGTTTGGATGAAGGATAGATTGATAAGAATTGGCTATCTCAAAGTAGGAAATACAGGAAATACAAAGGTTACATCTCTGGTATCAGATTCTGAAGGAGAAATGCTGTTTTCAGGTTCTTCTGATGGAAAAATTAAGGTTGAAAATTACTAAGCTATTATAATATCTTACAAATTCTGTAACCCAGCATTTGATCATTGTGTTAATTTGTTCCATTTGGGATTTCACTTCAGGTTTGGACTCTTGACTGAGAACAATAGCTGTTCTTCCTTCACAAGAAATTTCCTTTGGGATGAAGGTGGATTGAACCAGAGGAACAATGATCTATTTGAGCTCACCAACAGAATCTTATTTCACAGTAAGCTTTTGTTTCTTCCACATTTGCTTAATAATTTTCATGTTTTGATGGGCTTACAGAGTTCTGTAAATGAAATTTTGCATGCTTTTCATCCGACACTTTGAAATGTTAATAAATTCAAAAAGCCATTGTTTAAGGCAATACCCATCTTAATATATGTACATATTTGTTCTGTAGATGATTTTTTTCTAAGGCGTTTTTTATTTTATGTTATTCAAACAATAGTAGCTATGACATACAATTTATTTGATTTTTGAAATTACCTTAAATAATAGAGTTATTTAGGGATGTCAAAAAAAAGTTTTTGTGATTTAGCCTTTCTTCATAAATTCATCTTCGACTCGATCATTACAATAACAACAATATCAAGCCTTTGTCTGGCCCGGGTCGGCTATATGAATCCTTTTTTTCTCTATTTTGTCCTATTAAAAGTCAAATTCTCAATGATTTAGCCTTTTCTTCGACTCAATCATTAATTGGAAAAAATATATTTTAAATAAATTACATAAATCTATTTAATTTACATCATTTTCATTTTTTAATTTATATATATATATATGTCTCATATTGGTGTTGTATTATATTTGTGTTCTCATATTTATATTAGTGCATCATAATTTACACCACTGATGTTATTTAAAATGATTAAAGATAATTTTAGTCATTCGTTCTCATTTCTTTAATTCATCAATTTTGATGTGATATAGATTAATGCGACTTATGTTTCCTTCATAAAAGCTATCAATGATAGATAAAATTGAATTCAAAAGTTCTAAAATAAATTTTAAATTATGATAATATGTTAAAAAAAATGACTCTTGCAAGCCTTTATCTCATTAAATGAATCTTTTTCTCCATTATGTTCCATTAAAAATAAAATTCTAACTTAAATTTAATAAAAAAATTATTTGTAATATTATCTTAAGTTTTTGTAGGACTACCTCTATCTTATCATAAATCATATCTTAAGTATTATTCATTTGATGTTGATGAATAATACTTGAGGAAATCTAGCTCAGCATATCTTTATTCAAATTTGGCATATTCAATTAGAATATGTTTTCTTATTATATTTAATGAATTTAATACATAAAATTTTAATATTATATTTACTTCAAAATAAAGTCATCAACCATAATTCAATCATAATTAAATTTATGATTATAGGGGACAAATTTAAGCTTCGTTTGAAATGGCTTTCTTATTGCTATAAATTTTTTAATTATTTTTTTTTTACAAGAAAACTGTTTTAAAAATAGCAAAAAAATCATACCAAATAAAGTCTCAGGCTTCATTTCATGCTTCTTAAAATAATTTTTTAGTACAAAAAATTTAATTTTTATATTAAAAAATTATTTTAAAAAGTTGTAAGAAAGCCATCCCAAACGAGCCTTTAATCTCCGGCTGATAAAAATATTCAAGAAAGTAACTGTCCAAAGACATTACATAGAATCAAATCAAAGAAATCCGAAGGTTGTTCATGAAAATGCAGGAGAAAAACAGGCGAAAATAGTTCATCACATAAACAACAACGTGGTGAATCAATAATTCTCATTAGAAGAAGACTTAATTTTTAGCTATTATCTAAGTCAAAATGGTAACCTTCAAATCACTCTAATCAATGGAAATTGAATTAGCCTTTGTAAAAAGCATCAAAATATGAATTAATTTATCAAAATAAAATCTGCTGCGCAACATACTTAGGCTTCGTTTGAAACAGCTTTCTTATTGCGTCTTAAAACAACTTTTTAGTATAAAAATTTTAAAAAACAGCTTTAAGAATCAGTAAAAAATCCGTCCCAAATGAAGCTTAAGATCAGACTCTGCAGGGCTTTTTCAAACTCACACAACACCTGCAGGAAGGCGAAGTACAAGTTGCCCACCAAAGATGCTGTAAAAATACAAAATAAAATTGTTATAAATATTTGAAAGCAGTAAGGTAACGGTATAATTCTAATTTCAATTGGATTGGAGGGGCTAACCTCTTAACATAGTAATAACAGAAATCCGCAAGGATGAATGTTTGAACTATTTCAGAGAGAAGGACCATTGATGGCCACAAACCATATCCAAGAGCAGTCAACAATCTTCCGTGTGTGTCCAAAACCTGAAAGTATCAATTGAGACTTGGCTAAGCAAAATTTTAGGGTTCTTAGCTCGCTGACATTTTAATTTATGGAAAAGATGATAATTATGTGAAGAGAAAAGTTTATTTAGGTTTTAGATAGAGAATATGAACCTTTAATAGAGGGAAGGGGGTGTTTTAGTTGGATGCTTTGAATATATGCATATTAGAAATGTAACGTAATTGAAATGCATGCATTTTAAAAATATAATAGTTGTTTGGTTGGATGCAAATCAAATACATTGCAACTATTTTATGTTTGTTAGGGTACACTTTAAATAGTCTCTCTTTCTCCTTCTTGTTTGGACTTTTCAACGACTCAAATGAGGTTTATGGTGAAGGACGCTATGTGAGGAGAGGGAGGCAATGCTGATGATGGGGAGAAGGAAACCCAAAGACGACCCGAATTGACCCGGATCTCGCCCTTGCGCCCCCCCGCAGCGGCGCAGCCCTCCAGTTCTCGTGACCGCCCACAACACTCCTGCGCAGGCCGAGCTCGCCCTCCCGCGCTTGTGTTTGCAATGCTCACATCCGCACCCGAACCCACCCCCGCTCCCGCAACTACACCCTAACCTGCTTGCTCCCGCGCCCGCACCGCTCCTAGACTCGCTTGAGGAACGCCTGCACCGCCCTCTTCGTGATCGCACCCCCTTCGCGCTTGAGTTCGCGCCCGAACTCACTACCATATTCTGAGTTAACGAGTAAGATCGGGTCAACCCGGTAACCTGGCGGGTCAGCTCTGGGTCAGAATTTCTGACACATCTACAAAACCGGGTCGAGTTCGTGTCAGATGAATAGGACCAAAGTCAATTCCGAATTCAACCCGAATACTCATTTTGACACCCCTAATTTTAAATCTCTCAAAATTTTAATTTATATATTTTATTGCTTCCAACCAAATATTAAAAAAATTTAAATGCAAGTAAATAAAATATTACACGGCCTCTATAAATAGAACACAAAGAACTACTAGATAACCCGTTTGTTTTTCATTACTTATGCCAAGAGCTTTGTTCTGACTTCCACCAAATATGCACATAAAGAGCCAATTTTGATAAATTTTCAACTCTTGAAGTGTTCCAGTCCACAAAATTCATTAAGCATGCTAAGTGAATATGTCGTAGCAAAATGCATTATATTTAACAAATTTGAAGATAACTTAAGTTAAAAAAATTAGCATAAAACTACACAACTGAACATAACAACAAGATACATAGAAATATTTAAAAAAAACAATGTAAGTAGATGGCAAGGAATGCACTGAAACAAACCTGAAGAACCCAATGGGCACAGCTCAAAAACCTGGCAATTCCTAATGCAAAGACGTAATGTGCTGTAAATGGCTCAACAATCTGTGCAAATATGCACGTAACATCAGAAAATATAAAGCAAATTGATATAAACCATCATATTTGATCTTTACCTTGGTGTTCTGCATCAAACGAAGCTGTGGCAACACTGAAACAGCTTCAAGATAAACACAGAAGGCCCAAAAAATCCTGTTAACAAAATTGTGTGATGTCGTTGGGTGAACCAACAAAGCTAACACTGCACAAGGCACGACCTACATTTATAAGGTGAAAAACTCGGTCAATATCAATTTGAAACATTTGTAGTCCAATTATTTAGGAAAATGAGTACTATCTAGGAAAGGTGGAAAGGCCAAAGCCAATATTGTTAACTGGATTGAAGTAAATGAAACTAAAAAGTTAGAACATAAGAAAGAAAAATCATAGGGATAGAGTTTTCTAGCTGCAATCCAAAAACCAATATTGACTTCGATCTTCAAAAGCATTTGTAAACCAGAAAGTAGAAAATTGCAAATAATAAATGTTAACTCATAGCACATCATTCATCACTCATGCAAAGAATCCTAATAAAAAACCACTAAAATAATAAAATCCTAAATCATTAAATATGTGACATCGCTATGGTGGAAGCACTTTCGATGTCTGTTTAAGATATCATATCCACCTCTTAGGCAAAATTGTACTAAGAGAGTTCAAAGAAGCATATACATATGTGATCTAATGCTAAAAATGATCACATAGTAAATATGGACAACACAATATTTTTCACGTCATAAATTGCCAAATAATATTTAATAAGAACAAGCTTTTAATTCCAACTGCAGCATGCTAAATGAGTTCCTCTTCCCAATAGAATTTTACTACTGTGGAACGTCTCTAGCTTATAAATGTTCGCGGACACAAGTAACTCAAAAAAGCGATGAAGGCACAAAGCCTGTAGGAAAGCCTTGGAAGCTAAAATCAACTATCTAAGCTTAAGAGTAATAATATGGTCCAAAATAGATGTAGAGAAAGACCTATCTAAAAGAGTCTGCGAAGGCATAGGAAAAGATCAACATCATGGTAGCTTCATGCATGGGAGCACAAGTTTCTATGAAGATAGCTTGAAGTCAGTTCCTCCGAAGCTATCCTCTCCAAAATCATTCCCCTATGGCTCTGCTAAGTCATTTAATATTATAATATCACTACAGTGGAAGCACTTTAGATGTCAATTTAAGATATAATATCCGCCTCATATGCAAAAAAAGCTTACTCATATGTAAGCCATCAATTGACTCCACTCCTCTATTGATTTATCCATTGGAGTATTAGACATCCTAAAGTTTTTGCATTCCCTAGACTTGCATTCTATGATTTGTTGGATTTTATAATGAGCATTTGGCTTCAATTAAATATTGGTTTACAAATAATTTATTATACACGGCAAAAGGTGGATGGTGGGCAAGCAAGCTCATTATAGTACTTAGAAATTTTCACGAATAATTATGATTTAGTTAGCCTATTTTTGCACATGATTTGAACTCCACCTATTTATCTGCTAGAACCATAAGTATCTAATGTGTTTGCACATATTTTGCCTTTTGGCATTGATATTTGATCTCCTTTTACTGATCAGCTATGTTACCAAGATGAGGCACCTTCAAGCTTACAGTGCTTATAATCTGTGTTTATAGCTCCCCGAGAGATGCCCCAATGCATTAAGACATCCCATAAGTCATTGGAATTGATAAAAGTCACCAGAGGTTCCTAAAATGCAGAAGATATTTTCCCTCACTCCCCAGAACCATGAAGAGAGACCACCTCCTAGTTAGAACTATCTAGTGATTATTTTTCTAAGACTGTCAATGGTCAATCTCATAAAAGGCATTTAAAAAAAATTTTAAGCATCCAACATCTATGAGAGTGGCAGTTTGTAACTACTCAAAAATTTGAAAAGTATTTTAAAATGAAAATTTGAATTTATGTTTGAACTAGAGCACTTCGGCATTGTACTTTGGAGCACTATAACACTAGGCTTAAGAGTACAATGGTGCTATAAATTGATATCGTGATATTGGAGTATCTATTCTATTCTAATTCTAAATTTAACATGCAGCGTTGCAGTGCTATGGTCTTGGGTCGGAGTGCTGCAGTGCTAGGCCATTAATAGTATATATATATATATATATATATATATATATATATATAAACATAAGCACTAAAAGTCTCCATCAACACCATCTCTACCCATTTCGGTCGTGGCTTACACTAGAATAAAAGGGAAAAGGAAAAGGGAGAGGAAGAGGAGATAGAAAGCTAATTTTGGTCATTTTCTCGGTCACTTCTATTATAAAAAATCTTTTGATCATTGTAAGTGACCCAAACCTTACTATGATTTACAATTACTTTGAGTTCAATGACTTTAATCTCTTTTAAATCAATGAAAAACTTTTTCTCCTGATTTATCATATTTTTAAAGTGTAACTTTTTTTATATGATAGATATGGGCTTCATGAATATTTTGACTATAATATTACTGAATTTCACCGATTGAACCGAAAGTTATTATTTTTAGAAGTTATTGATTATTATACATATTTTCTTGAATTTATAGATTTCAACATTTCATATTATATTCATGCATGAAAAAGAATTGATACAACTTATATGGAATAAATATAATATATAAATATAAGCAAGGAAGATTGGTTGTTAACTATATAATTAATTTATATTGGCTATTAAAATAATACCCTACGTAGGAGGGTAGGCCGACAAGCTTCCTTTTAAAGATTATTTATGGTGTCATCACGGTTGTAGCCTATAATTGATGATTGATTACTATTTGGGTTGAAGTTCATGCAAATCAAGGATTATTTTATCTTTTTATCATTAGTAGTAGTGTTGATGTCGTGGAGATATCTTCTAACTTACTGAAATTATATAATCCTTAAAAAAATACATTAATTATCCTTTAGCTTTTTGGAAAAACTCCACCACAGTTACTCTTCATATAAGGGTTTTTCCTATCCCAAGGAAATTGATGCAATATGTGACTGTTGCGTTATTAATGATAATCTAGGTAGATAGGATTTTATTCATATATTAAAATTTAGCAATTCTTTTGATATTCTCTCTTATTTTCATAATTGGTATCAAGTGATAAGCTTTAGAGGCAGTTACCACTTTTTGTTGTCAGGTTATTTCTATAAATAAATCCTTTTTCCTCTTAAATATCATGTTATGGAGAGTTAATAGTTTTGCTCTCTAATTTTTTTGCTTTTCGCTAATGCTTCAGGGATTCAACATTTATACCTTGACAACACATTATTTTGACAGATTTTTCTTTAGTGTTTTCCAATTTCTTATTTTTTTCTATAATTATATAATGTATCTGCATCATCAAGCATTACATCTTCATTGCCTTTGAGATAAGGCCCTCTGGAAGCCCATATTAAAGTATAAACTCATCAACAATTCCATTGTCAACTCCAAAATCTAAAAGATATCTAAAAAGGAAAAATGTTGAAGCACCTTCTTGCATTCAAATTTTATCATAAATTGATAAGAATTAAATGGAGCATACAGATTATTCATTAATAGTAACATGATTTAGTAACACTGCTTAATAACATTAAATCCAACAAAACTAATAACAGCAATAAACCTTATTGAAAACACGCTTTCCTCAAATCGTCCTCATTATGGAGATCACCCGGATTGGATCTAAGAAATTTAAATATGAAGGTGTGCAAGATAACCATGGATCAAAAAGCTGTGGAATTGTTACAATTGTCGATGGATACTACAAACCCCTCAAGGAATCACAGCATATGGTGCATCCATGAAATCTAGGATGTCCTTCACCAAATTATGCTACAACCCTTCGAACCCATATGATGCTGAGATCACTAGGATATCTTTCTTTTATCAAATGGGAGTCAAAGTGGTATTTTTATATATGAGTCTTAGAAAGATAGCATCATTATATAGAGAGAGTTAGATTCTGCTAATAATTTTTCCATGGTATCGATTTTAGAGAGTTTCACAGGAAGAAGAAGGAAACAATAGTAATTTTTCAAGGATGGAGACCAAAGATTGTAGTGAATGGGAGCGCAATGATAATGATGTATGCAAATCAATGTTGGCTCTACGGCTATCCACTTCCCATAAATTTTCATTTTGAATTTTCCCCCCTTGGAAAAATAGAAACTCCCTGGCTAGATGCCATCTAATGTTAAATGAGCTTAATAGCAAAATCAAGTCTTTTAGCTAAACAAACAGCTGGTTTTATATGCACGGACAAGTGTATCTCCCTGCACAAAGACCTCATCTTAAATTTGAAAGACAAAATTGAAAAGTAAAGATTATGCAATGGCCATGAAGCTCAACAAATTAATATATGATTAGCCCAAATATTAACCTATGTTTAAAAATTTGATTAAATAAGGTCCATATTTTAGACAACACTTAACATAATTAGGCTCACCACACTCATCAAAAACCTATCTATGCAATTTAATATTACTATTGATCGAATCCTAATTGACTGGTTTGAGACAATGTGGGAATTGGTTGAACTGGCCAACCTTTTTTTAGACTAGTTCAATCACTTTGGGGCTCAATTACAACCGATTTGGCTAAGATTGTGGAATTAAAAATAGGTTTTACACCCAACCAACATTAACGAAGCAGAACATGCTTAAGACAAGGTACAGGCTATGATGCACCGACACTCCGTTTTAAGGAGCAGTGCACTGTCGGACACGGACACTCACCCGACACGGCGGGGACACGTGTCCGACACTTTTTGAGCGTGTCCAGTTTTTTTTTAAAAAAAAAACTTAAGCCGGACGCGCGTGTCCGGCTATTTCATATTTTAAATAAATAAAAAATAAAAAACATAAGGAATAAACACCGGTGCACTCCTATTCGCCCTAATCCCGCATTATTTCCGATGTTTGCTTTCACTGGAGCGAAGGAGCATTCCGCGACTCTTCCTTGAGCAGCCGTCGCCGCGAGCAGCCCCTTCGAGTAGAGTCGTCGCCGCAAGCAGCCCCTTAGAGTAGAGTCGTCGCCGCGAGCAGCCCCTTCGAGCAGAGTCGTCGCCGCGAGCAGCCGCACCGTCTTCACGAGATTCTTCCGCGTTCCGTCGAGTGAACCATCGGTCGTAAATAAGTTTCTGTAAGTTAGATTTTGATTTTTTTTTTTGCCATTCATCATTTCTCTCAATTTATTCTTATTTATCATGTGGATCTGTGTTCACAAGAGATTGTTGTGGGATTTTTCTTGTTTTTACCTAAATCAAACCCTAGGTTGTAGATTGTAGGTTTTTTTTTTTTTTGCTTTTGATTTTGGTAGACAAGAACAAAAAATGGTAGAAAGTTTACAAGTTGCAACCCCACTCTCTTTGTTTTTTTACTAAATCTTCACTTTTAGGGTTTTGTGAGGCCAAAATATATGAAAATCTCTATTGTTGCCTTATAAAAAATTAGGAATATAGAAAATTTTTTATGTAATTTAACTCCTATTGTTACATCAAAACTTATGGTGGAAGCTCTAAAGCTTTGCTAGATTATGAGTTGATTATTATGAAGTTAGTTTTGCACTGCTTCGTATGTGATGTACCGTACAGGTGTATCGAACATATAAAAAGAAAATCAAATGATGCATGTGATATTTCATTAGCCATGATGTTCAACATAAAAGATAGGAAAAATATTTAACAGAAAAGAATAAGAGGACCATGAGAAACACAATCAATTCAACATATTGCTCTGTTAAAAAGTTGAAAAAAAAAAAAAACCATCCTAGAACGGTTTTATCATATTGCATACTCTAGAATAGCTTAACTCCAGATTTTTTAAATGTTTCGTACGTTGCAAGACAAATCCAAGCAAGCAAATAGGGTAAAATACAAAATCTTACCACATAGTATACAGCAAAATTGTCCTTATCTTCCATGTAGCTTGATCTCAGTTTAAAACGAATCATGTACATGACCCACAGTGTTGTTACAAGAGTGGCAGAATCCAACAACGTGTGTATATCATATTCCATAACAAAACTGCAGTAAAGTCTAACAGATAAAAACAAAGCTGTTAATTCCTGAGACTTGAGGGAAAGTCCTGCACAAAGACGAGAGTTCATATCAAGGAGCATGAAATGGGAAGAGGAAAAAGGAGTGATCGAAACAAATTGACAAGCAAGCAGAAAGACGCAGGGGGAAATAACACATGAAGATGCAATACCCACAAAATAAAAAATAATATTGTTTTCTAGCAAATGTTTAACTTTCAAAAATGAATACATGATGAGGTCAATTTTCTAAGCATTCAAACCCCTGTGCGTGGAAGAATTTTTTGGCAGCAAAACCAGAATATCTTTTATCTCTAAGTTGAACTTACCATGTACTGACGTAATATGAAAAGTTAATATTTATCTAAGAAAACCATGGAAAAAAAGGCCATCATCTTATACATTACTATAGAATTCTACCTCTGCGTTTGACAGGGCTGATGATGAGTTTTAGGTTAGAAGACCCAAAGATTGTTTATTTGGCATGGATCTAACTCTACCTCAATTAAAAGCCAAATTCATATGTAACTTAGATTGGGCTGAGCACGTAGGCCAAGATTGAAAGAACTAGCTTGACATCAACTTGAGGTACATATGCATGTATTTATGAATACATGAAGGAATTTGTTTTAAGGTGTGCACTTAGGCAAGAAAGTACCTAGAGAGACCAATCAATGCATGCATTTAGAATAAATAAATTGACTTGCAGAAAAAAGAGATTTATTAATAATTTTGGATATGGATTAAAGATATGTTTGGAACAACTTTTCAATACTTTATTTCCCATACAACTTTCATAGTTAGATCTCACGATGCTTTTCAAAAATATTTATGTTGAGAATTAGCTTTTTACAACCAAATCTACTAGAGTGTGGTAGTCGTAGGAGGTCCAATGTCTGAATTTTTTCAAAAAGGAAAAAATCTATAATGCTCAAAATAGCTTTCACAACCATTCTACAATTAATTTTACAAATGGTTGCAACCGCACCAAGCAAACCTTAAGATTAGTAAATAAAGCCTGGCTTGAATCGAGATCAAATTGAACATCAAAATCAAAATGAACATCTTTGCATTAATGTTGAGCAAGTTTGAAATTGGCTCAAGATCATTTTTTATTCAGGGCTATAATAAGTTAATATCATAGAAATGATGCTTGCACCAAGATCATTATGTACAACAATGGCAAGTTTTTCCATGGTTAACTTGATGAAATAATAGTAGTAAACGGATGAAACAAATTGAAAGGTAAATTTTAAAACATGGGAGAAAATTACAAAGAAATAGACATGGAGAGATAAGGTAGAAAAGTGAAGCGAGTTAACCATGGTTTGAAATATCTTTTTCAATGAGTCGTTCTTTTAAGAGCATGGAAGGCTGCTCTTTAAGATGCTCATTTCTTTATTCCCTGGGAATAGTGAATATCAAACCTGTCTTGAAGAACAAAAACAACCGATTTTAACTAATGCATTCACCAGTATTGGCTGCATATATAGCAAGTTAAGCAAAAAAAGGCAGTATATGCACCCTTAACTTGAAAAGCCATAAAAATTTAGCTCATTATTGGACCTCTTTACTACCCCCGCCTGTTCACATCATCTACTTGAAACATTATCGGTACGATTCTTTTATTTTCAGCTACACTGAATCAAGCACGTAGCAAGCCGAACGCCGGAAACAAACCTAGCTAATGGATAATTCTAAATCCTCGGGACAGGATGCACTTGTCAATTCCAACATTTATACAAATCCAACACAAAAAAAAAAAAAAAAAATCTAGGGTATCACAAAGAAAATATTGCGGAGGATTAGGACACCAAACCGGCACAAGTTTTCTCTTTGGTGAGCTTGTAGATGAGCACCGAGATGCCGACGGCGTGAACAGCCTCAGCGGCGACGAAGAGATTATCGTGGTCGTGAACGACGAATCTGAGGAAGGCGAGTGCTGCCATCCCAGAGACCACGGAAAGGAACGCTTTGACCTTTGGCGGCTGTCGCCGGACCCATCCTGCCACCGCGCCGATCGATCGCTTCGAAACTCTCATCTTCAACGCCGATTGCTCGATCCCTGACCAGGTCACCAAGCGAACAAAAACTTCTCTAAGAGAATGAAGAGGGCCGGTCTTCCTACGTCAAGCGTTTCTGGCGCGGGAATCAGATCAGTGCAATTTTCTGGCGAACGGCCGGACCTATCGAATTCTTCAGGCACTCGAGGAGCCCCAGTTGTAACACTGATACGATACATGAAACTGCAAGTTTTTTTTTTTTTAATATTTATGCCAATTCATAATATTTTTTTTTTTGGAAAATAATACTGAAAATTATCATATTTTTATATTTAACACTAAAAACATATTATTTACTTAACAAAACACTCCATTGACTTCTTCCTAGATCCATTGCTTCCAAAACCGTCGATAATGGACAAAAAGAGGAAATCCTACAAAATCTCATTAGGAAGAACAATAATAAAACCGGTAACGTCTGAAGGACAAATAAGAGGTGATGAATTCTCGATTGAATCTCACTGGAGAAGGGCAAATTATTGCATCAGGTCATCGAACAGAGAGGATCCGTGAACGGATCCTCTCTGTCTACAGTAAAGCGCAGGTCACTGTAGCAGCTACAGTGACCTGCGCTTTACTGTAGACAGAGAGGACCGAACGTATTCGGTGACCTGATGCAATAATTTGCCCTGGAGAAGGCATTCATGATATCAATAGTCATTCTAAAGGATGAAGGAGAGGTGAATAAGTGGCGAGGGGAATGTGTTAGTTTTGTGTGGAATTTGGTTGTGTTGATCGATAGGGTTATATTGTTACCTCAAATCTTAATTACATCGGTTGAGCTTGCTTGGGGGGTCCTCCCCAGCTTAGGTTCGAGTGTTTTGTACCTGGGGAAAAATTATTTCTCGTACAATCGTACAACATTGGGGCACGATTAGTTTTCTTGGAGATAGATAGAGAGTTGTGGCGCTCCAAATCCCGGCACAGTAGCGCTGTCAGGGAGCATTGTGGTGCTCCAGACCTCGACGCTGTAAGGCGAGCTAGACAATTTTCTTTCTATTTTTTCATAAAGGGTTGCATCCCTTGATGAGTTTCTCTTTGTTTGTTCATGTATAAGAACGGTGCAAGATTGAAGAGGGATAAGGAGAGAGTGAGAGAGAAAATGACATGTACAAATTTCTCCCGATTTCATAGTGAATTTTTTGGTGGGTGTGATTCTATGATTTTTTTCTTATTTTAAGTTGTTCTATGTTAAATCCTAGTGTTATTTCTTTTCGCTGCATTTTCTTTTTCTTTTTTGTATTCGTTGCTTGTTTACTTCCCAACAGAATGCAACACATCTTGACATGGTGATGGGGTGCTTTGGCTCTTATCAAAAGATTACGGGCTGAAGGCCTAATACAGACAAGTGTGTGAATTTGTTGGTAATTAAATTTGCTCAAGATCCCCCAATAATAAGTGAAGACAAGATCTCTCTAGTGAAGAGCATCCATAAGACTAGTGACATGAAAGATGAAGGAGAGTATGGTGACAGGAGGTAAACGGAAAAGATGAGGAAGATGTTTTTTGCAATCTTATATAAAAAATTAATTGCTATATGAGTAATTAATAAGTTTTAAATGTTATATATATGAATATGATTTTGAATGTTATGTATGCAAACCCCCTTTTTAAGTAATTAATTAGTGGAATTTTCGTTAAATATCATTCATTATTGTCATTTACATTTTAAATTTGCATGTTGTTTGAAATATATTATTTTCTTATTTTTAAGAAAATTTACAACTATTATTTATAAATATAATAAAAAATCATTAAAATTAAGTATCAATTTCTCATGTCTTATATATAAACAGCATAATTCATCAGTATATCAAATATTTATTTTTCTTGCTGTCAATGTCACTAACCACATTAGTTTGACTTTAATATAATACAAATTGAATTTTATTAAAATAATTTAATAATTTCATTTGATATATAGCTTGAAAAATAACTGCCTTAAAATATACTTATCAAAATTTCTATCAATTCCCAAATTGGTAGAAATTAGCATTTAGATCTATGTGGTAATGTCATTTATTAGCATAAATAGAATTAACAAATTGGCTTCACATAGCTTCAGAGGTCATTTCATCATTGCCTAGCACCCTGTAGGTTATCTAATATTGCATTTTATGCTAATAAAATCTTACTTATGGGGAGTAATCATAAATGCTTTTCTTAGGTAAAACACTATATAAAAGTATTTTCTTAGGTTGAATTTCCTTACAACAAAAAGGGATGTCACCATCTTTAAGGAAATATACTATTGATCATCTTGAAGAAGCTGGTCTTCTAGATTATAAATAGATTAATACCCTGATGAACACTTATACTACCTTTGATAATAAAAAGCTCCTTGATGATTTCAATTAGAAATTTTGATAATCTAACTCTTATTAGCCCTAACATTTTAGATATCTTGGATGTATTGTTCATAGTGATGGTATAATAGATGGGGATATTATCAACAGAATTCAAGTTGGATGGCTGAAGTGGAGGAATGCATCGGGCTTGTTGTGTAATAGAAAAGTCCCCTTCAAACTTTAGAGAAAATTCTATAAGATGGTGGCGAGACCTGCAATGCTTTATGGTGCTGAATGTTGGCCATTAAAAAAAAAGCATAATTATAAGTTAAGTGTTGCAGAGATAAGGATGCTCAGGTTGATGAGTGGCTTTACCCTTAGAGATAGGATACAAAACGAGCATATTCGTGATAAGGTTGGTGTAGTTCCAGTGGAAGATAAGATTAGAGAGAGTCGCTTTAGATGGTTTGGTCATATAAAACGGCGGCCTTCCGATAACCCGGTTAGGAAAGTAGAGGTATTAAATTTGACTTATGTTAAGAAAGATAGATGTATACCTAAAAAGACTTGGTTAGAGAATATTAGAAATGATCTTTCCTTATTAGATCTAAACGAGAATTTGACTTTTAACAACCCCATGTAGTGGGACAAAGGTTTAATGTTGTTGTTGTTGTTATTGGAGTTGCTAGTAAGCACATGCAAATTCTAAAATAGAAGCTTTATGAGGTTTTTCTGTAAATTCTTAAATATATCAAAAAGTCTCTCATTCTCATAAAAAAAACTATGCATTAAGACTAAGCACTTAAGAAGCATTCTAAGATGTTGATTATGATGGCTTAGTAGATATAATAAATCAACCTCTGGATATCGTATTATTAATAGAGGTAATCCAGGCACCTAGAAAAGTAAAAACATACTGTTATGGACAAATCAATACTAAGCTAGAACATGGAGCTATGACCCATTTTGAATGTGAATTGATATGGGTTGAAGTTATAGGTCCTCTACCTTTCACTTGTTTATATAAAAAATGGAGTTAGGTAATATAGGTTAGGTCCACTCTGTTGCCATATCTCCTCATGAAAACAATGGGAAAGAATATTTTATTTTGATAACATAATAGTGAGAAAGAAGAGAATAAACAAATTCATGTTCAGAAAATTGAAACACTTACCTTGCCCATTGTAATTTAAACAGTCATGCTTGAGCCCCCTTCGAACTGGCATTCTTACATAGAAGCATAGATTCTTCTGTTGGAAGCAAACAATTTCAAATCTTGTCAACTGTACCAAAAACTTCAGATGACAAGGATCACCCAGCATCCATGTTTGAGTTAAACTTCACAAACATTGACTTCAGTTCCGAAGCCAAATCGCCCCGAGCAATACTGTGCAAATCCTTCAGAACTTTAATATAAACAGGGAAGTTAGGCTTGATTCCCTTCACCATCATCTCATGAAGAATACTGCCTGCTTCGACCGCCCTCCCTGATAGCCGAAAAAGATTAGCTAATAAGCTAAAATTACAATTGTTTGAGCACTTATCCTTCACACTCATCTCAATGACATAATTATATGCATTCTCAACTCGACCAGACCAAAATAACCCTTTAATGAATGCTGCATGAGTCGTTGGCCTTGGTTTAATCCCCTCAGACAACATCAGGTTAAGAATCTCAATTGCATAATCCAACCTGTTAGCCTTACATGCATGTGATGCAACCACCTCATAGGTGATCAAATCTGGAACATAACCAGCAGCTTCCATCACCTGGAGAAGTTCGCAGGCTTCAATAACCCTGTCGTTCTTAAACAAACTTCCAAGCAAATAATTGTATGATTTGATATTTGGATCACATCCATGTGTTCTCATTTCATCAAAAACATCCATTAACTCCCTAAAGTTGCCATTTTGACACTTCGCTGCAATCAGCAAATTGTAATATGAAGTCTTTCTGACTGTCTCCTCCATGACAAAAAAGGCAAGTTCGAAAAAATTCATTGCGCATAGAAGTTTAATCAATGCGTGAATACCAGAACCTCTGCAAGGGCCTCTTATGCCATTTAAAACTTCAGTTACAGTTCTAACTGAGTCCTTAATAGTGGAAGAACTGCAGAACTTTAAAAAGGTGAAAGCTTTCTCTGTTAGACAATACCCTTTAGACGAAAGCTCGCTGAGTACATTACTCATAGAACTGTAGTTCTCTAATCTGCCCAGATTATTCACAATCAGATTATAGATTTCTGAATTTGGTTTAAAACTTGGATGATATTTCAAGACCCAATCGAAAAAACGTACTGCAGAGATACCTCGATCATTCAAAGCACAGAGAACATCGGCAACTGTAATTGGAAAAAGCATTAAATTCAACTTATCTAGATTGGATTCCATGTCATCCGCATCCCTTGAAATCTCCTCAACAAGCCCAGCAAGTTTCTCAGGCTCCAGACCGATCTTGAAACCCATAGAACTCCTTCTACTATACTGCATCGGAGAGCTGGACCTGCCTGGAGAGTGTTGCACGCCAGGTATTCGACAAAATGACCGAGTACAGGTGATGAAGAATGGCAAAGTCTGAACTTTACCGGTCGAATTTACACGACGTAATCGGAGAAGGAAATAATCAGTGCGCTTGAAATGATCATAAAAAATTGCAGATGATATGAGATTGTGGTAAGGAATCGGACTATCGTTTTGAGAAGAAGGTTTGAAATTTAGGTAACGAGGGGAGTAGAGGCTCGCGGAATTAGACCAGTTGGTTTTAGAGGATGGAGAGCGAAGCATATACCCACAGCATAGGAGAAGGGTCACTGCGTTGCCCGTTTTTGGATTCATGGAAGGAGAACGTAAGAATCTTTTAATCAAGAGCGCAGAGTTCTTAGTGGAAGGGAACGCGGAGACGGGTTAGACATAGGCGGGATGGAACTGGACAAAAGCAATCTTGTAATAGTCTGTTTGAAGTAGCAGTTTTATAGTTTTTAACAACAAAATTTCACATTAAAAAAAACTGTGATATTGATATTTCTCAAATTTCATTAGCCTTTCTTTTACAACTCTAGGGCATCTAAATACTTGATAAATACTTCATGATTAAGGTGATCACTATGAGCCGTTCTATGGAGCACTCCCAATATGTCATTGATTTTATCCATATTTACAAATCATGTCACTCCCAAAAAAATTATAAATAGAACTATGCCCCCGCCAAATGAGCCCAAATCAAAAGATCGAGGTACTCTTTAAAAATTTAAAGTATTAATTGGATGATTAAATGATATTCAAATATGACATGCTTATAATTGAATCGATAGGCTCAACGAGATGAATCCAACGAGCCAGAGATCACTCAATTTTGACATACGTGGGGCATCTAAATACATAATAAATTCTCCATGATCAAGGGAATCACTATGAGCCATCTGATGGAACACTCCCAACATGCCATTGATATTCTTCATATTTACTAGTCATGTCACTTGCAAAAAAATTATAAATAACCCTCCATTCTTCACATGAGGGGAGGAGGGTGAGGAGAAAAAGCTTGAGAGCTCTCTTGCACTCTGCACCCAACGGTATCACAGTCAGAGTTCTTCCCAAAGTTTGATCGCGATCGGACTTCCGCCCATTCTCCAACTATCGTCGGAACTATTCCCGGATACTATTGATGTTGAATCTACTCCCAAACATTATCACTCACTGGTGATGATCCTTTCTACCACCATTGATCGATTATGGTCCTTTTGAACTCTATCGCCCGTCAACTATGGTAGCTTCTACCACCATCACACGCCGACTATGGTAACCACGGCCATCGGCCACCGACTATAGTCTCTTCGATCAATGTCGCCCGCCACCTATTATATTTCTAACCAAACGAATAAGCCAACACTCTCTGAAGAGTAGCTGTCATGTCATTTACAGTGTATATTTGCTACATTGAGCCAACACCCTCCTCCGAGGAAGGACATCATTTGTAATCAACCACCAATACTAGTAGAATCATTTAAATTGGACAAGACCCCTTGGTTTTTTCACTTTTCGAAGTTTTCACGTAAAAACTCTGGTGTCTCTTATGAACACTACACCCCTACTTATTTGTGTGCTGGATCTTTGTACAAAGATGGGACGCTAAATTTTATATCTCTACCATCACGAATATATTAGGACGCAACAATTTGTAATAATTTTTTTAAAAGAAAAAGACAAGTGAAACAAATAAGTTGGCAGGATAAATTGACCCAATCTTCGCCACCTTGAGTCCATAATTTATAATTAAATTAGGTTTTTGTATTTCGTTGATCATGATATAAGGAAAGCAGGATGATATTATATTAATATTTCCTTAATATTGAAGAGTCATCATCATTTTCTTTCATTTATCCCATTTGTCATAAATCGTGTATGTTAAGCTCATCAAGCCACCACCTTCCCTCTCTTGTGTCTCTTTTATTTGGCCCAATGAGCAATTTAATCACAAATATTAATATTTTAGGGTTGGATAGCACTGAACATCCCCATCAAGAATAGCTATCACAATTACTAATAGGGTTTGCCATTCATTAATCATCATGGTCTCTTATAACCTCATATTTTGTTTTGTTTTATGTTTATTCAAAATTGTTTTAGAATTCAATTTGGCAAAATAGGAGTAATTATTACGTCTGAACAAAAAACCGAAAATTCGGACGTATACCGAGTGCTCAATACCGAGTTTCAGGTGACGTGACGCCTGATTATTGATCTCTGGACGCGTCAGGTGACCTGATGTAATAATTGCTTGCAAAATAGAGCCCAAATTGCCCTATCTTTGTTCATCTTACTAACTCGAGCGTTATCTTCTAAAAGGTTGCAATACACTTGAGTCAACATTTCAATCTTTCTTGCTATAGCATATTGTGAGAAGCGCAATATCTTCAAAACATTTACTATTTCGTGTATTATAGAGATTACACTTTTTATAATTAATAACACTCGATATTTAATAATACATCAAGAGGATGAATCAACTTATATGTATAACTATTATCTTTACAAGGGTGAAAACATAGGCATAGCCAAGCTGAAAGAAGAGGTTGAAAGATACACAATTATAGTGAAATTGGTGGGGAATCCCTATGACATTGGTTTACATGCTTTTCAATTGGGCTAACTTGTGTTAATTAGTCTTAATTGGGTGAGTTAGATGTTATTTTGGCTTAATTGTTGTGGTTAACATTTTTGAATTAATGGGATGACTTAAGGTTAATTTGATCCTTATGGTTCTAGTTCAATTTCATTGAGGCAAGTTTGGTTCGATAGCCGATTTGGTTGATCTATTGATAATTGGGATTGAGTTGAATATGATTGATCAAGCAAAATATATTTCGAGGTTCAATAGGTCAAATGGGCTTATATGCTTTTTGAAATATGACTAGCAAGTCCAATCAATTGTAAATGATATATTATTCATTTCACATTACATGTGAACTTCAAAAATAATAATTTTGAGAACGAAGTGTTACACTCAGATGTTAATTTTATTCATTCATTTAGTTCAACTATAAGTTTGCTGAACTCAAAGTTTGGATAATTCAAAATTTAATTTTAAAAGTTTTTAATTTGAGTACTCCATCGAGATTGCGCTTGATCAAGTGAAAATTTTTTATGACATATCATTGCCAGTATCTTTGAAGGTCAAAATCTATATTGTTTGACACTATACTAGGTTTTTTAACAAACTTTTTAGCTGATTTATTGCTAAAAATAAATTTAGTTAAAGTGTAAGATACACCTTCAAAGAATTTTTTAAGGACTATAAAACAACTCTCGAGCGGCTCTCCTAGTTTGTTATGAACTCACAAGCTCATGATCATACTTGCCATTCATAACTTATCAGGCTAACTCGTCACTCCATAAAGACACTCATCAAAAGCCATATGTCACTTGGTGTGCTCGTTTGTCACTCTTCACCTGGCAGTTTCGCTCATCCCTCATTATACGACGGGCTCATTCACCACTTGTTAATCATCATTTGTCACTTGCAGATCACTCGACTAGTAAATGCCTATGTGTTAATTGTCTATTTATATTTCATACTGACTACAAATTTTATGTACTACAATAAATAATATATATATATATATATATATATATATATATAATATTTTGCTATAATCTAATAATATTACAAATAAATGGGCATAAGATAATTTCAACATAATAATAAATAATTTTCTTTCAATTTTTTTTCTCTTGTTCTTTCTATGATGGTGTGAGCCTTATGAGCCTGATCATATATCTGCCACACTATTATAAATTCCTCACAGGTGTACAGTGCACGTGCCATTTCATCACTGTTATCTTCCGCGCCATGTTTCCAACCAATTCAACGGATAAGGGCACAAATCAGTAGTCGCCGTTCATTAGGAGAATTCCTCAGATGGTTGCGGGGGCAGCGGTGTTAGGGTTTCCGCCACTTATCTCATGGCGATCGATGCTTTCATATCCCCGAGCCCGGCCGGTATCCTCTAAACACTTTGGCCGTCGGCTGCAGCTTCACCCTATCTTAGCTTCTCTGGTGGAGGAGCAGCGTGAAGTTTCCTTCATCGAGCCGGAAATGGCTCTTGTCAATGCCCTTATAGGGATCCAAGGGCGCGGCTTTTCAGCCTCTGCTCAGCAGCTGAAGGCAATGCCGTTTTATTATTCCCTTTCCTCTTGATTTCTTCTACCCCCTATTCGTTTTTGGTTGTTTATAATTGATTTAGAACCTTTCTCTCTGATTTTCTCTTAGAGATTAAAACACAAATGCTGGCAACATAAATTAGGCAGTAAATTCATGTTCTTATTGGATTGTTTGTTTTTATTGCTAATCCTTTTGGCTTTTGCCCTGTTTTGGTTATATGTTACTCGATGACAATTTGTTAACTCTTTTATGGGATCTTATTTGCAAGCTTTTACTCATGTAGGAAGTGGAGCATGCCGTGGAAACGCTAGAGAAAGTAAAGGGCATACCTGATCCTGTAAGTACTCTTGTTTGGACTAGGTGATGGGAACATTGTCATATACTAGTTTAATTGCATGTGAATGCATGTTTTCATATACTAGTTTTTCTATCTTGAGATATCATCTTGAACTAAGTCATTATCACCCTAAATGCTTTCAAAATAATATCATATATTATCATTTTATCATGAGTATTCCTTATGTATTATTTATATTGAAAATTTTGATTTTATGTGCCTTGTCATACATATAAGTGGCCAAATATCCTTACTAATCATTTTCTTAAAAAATATGCCTGAAAGTTTATTTTGGATGAAATTACCACTATGACATTTGAACTTGGTTATGAAAGTATTGTGAATCTTTATTCATTATGGATTCAGACCTTCGTTCAAACCTCGTTTGAACATGGTTTGCACATTCATTCAAACATGGTTAAAACGTTCATTTGAGTGTTATTCATATTAATGTTCGAACATCATTTTTGAATGCTTCATGTAAACTTCTATTCTCCTTCAAATATCTTTGGTTCAACAATCCCTTCCTCATGAACTCTTCTTTTGCACGCCATTAGTCCCATGCTGTCTTTACCATGTTCTCCTTTTCTCCTTCACATGATGCTAGTTCCATTATGTTTCTGTGACTCCTCTTTGGATGTGCTTCTTGTTTTGTGAGGCATTCCCTCATGAGCTTTGTCGTACACATCGTCGATCCCATGACGCCTTCTCTATAAACTAATCTTCTCATTCACATGTTGTCGGTACCTCTTCACGAACTTCTCTTCTCCTTCGCACAACTTTAGTCCCGCAATGCCTTCCTCGTGAACTCATCTTCACGCATGTCACTGAACTCATGATGCATTCTCTCATGAGCTTCATTGCACATGTCGTTCATTCCATGATGCCTTCTTCATGAACTTTTCTTCTCCTTCCTTATGACATCTTCACCGTGGTTTGAATTTGTTCCACTAAAAACTGGTAGGGTGTCAAAATGGGTTTTCAGGTCAAGTTTGGGTCAAACCTAGAATTGACCTGGGTCTAAACAGGTTGACCTAAACCTGACCCTGTTTTGTAAACAATTTGGTAATTCTGACCCGGACTCGACCCACGTGTGTTACTGGGTTGACCCGGCCAACGAACCCGAAACACAGCCAGCGGAGTCCGAACATGAGTGTGGGTCTGTGGTGTCCGCCTCCATGGCGCTGTGTGCGGAGATCAGAATCCCGAGTTCGGACACGAGTGCGAGTCCTCTAGACAACGGGAGGGCTCGTTGCCTCACTGCGTACGGAGAGGCGGGAGAGCAGAGTTTGGACGCGGGCGTGGTGCGGTAGATGGGATTGCACTGCAGAGGGCGGAGTTTGGTTGCGGGATTGAGCTCGTGAGTGCGGGATCGCGTTGCAAAGGGTAGAATACGGGTCATTTTGGGTTGATTTTGGGGTTTCGGGTCAGTTCGAACCCAATTTGGTTTTATAAACAGATCAGAATTTGGAACTCGAACTTGACCCGTGTGGAAAACGGGTTGAACCAAACCCAAAATTTTCCGGGTCAGGTTTCGGGTCGGGTCAAGTTTTAACACCCCTAAAAACTTGTTTGAACCTTATTTTAACAATGTTCAAATCGAGTTTCAAACTTGGTTTGAACAGGGTGGTTTAAACCTAATTTGAACTTGGTTTGAATTGAGGTTCAAATGTGATTCAAACTAGTTTTGAATGGCATAAGAGTTCAATGAGCTATTTGCAAGTACAAGAGGTTATTCCTCATTAGAGGTAATTTTGTTCAAAATGAACTTTCATGCATATTTCTTCTATAAAACAAACAACGAGGATATTTGGCCAATTTCATATATTATAAGGCATATAAAGTCAAATTTCCTTTTATATTCAACAACAACAACAACAACATCAAGCCTTTATCCCTTTATATATTAAACAAATACAATTAAATTAGTTGATTTTTATAAATGGTGAGGCGCAATATGCGATACAAAAATTTTAGCTTTTAATGATTTATATAATAGATTAGATATTAAACAGGGCGAAAGATATGTGTATAAGTTAGTTAAACAAAGAGATAGGAGTATTAAGGATTTAGTTCAAGCGAAGTGTATAAAGGATGAAGTTAAAAAATACTTCTATTAGAAGAGGATATTCAAGAAAGGTGGATGAGATATTTTGCTAAACTTTTTAATGTAGATTGTAAGAATACGATTGATTTTAGGAACTTAGCTTCCTAAATGAGAATAAAGATTTTTATTTTTATAGGCGTATTAGTAAAATTGAAGTTAGAGAGGCTTTAAAAATGAAGTGTGGAAAAGCAGTTTGATCTGATGATATTCCTATAGAGGTATGGAATGCTTAGAAGATGAAGGAATTTCTTGGCTTACTAAACTTTTTAATATTAGTTTGAAGGCTTAAAGATGCCAGATGAGTGGAGAATGAGCATGTTGAAACCTATTTTAAGAATAAAGGTGATGCACAAGATTGTGCGAATTCTGTCACAAATGGCAAGCTCTCAAGAATCACTGAATAAAACTAGGGCATCAAAAGCAAAAACCTTATATGGGAGCGGAGTAGCGGTGATGCAAATTAATTTTTTTTTCAATCGAGCCGTTTGACGAGTTTTCGAGTCGAGTCGGGCTTAGCTCGAAAACGATTTCGTATATTATACGTGCTCGACTATCAGCTTGTACTGGAACTTATTTGTATATTTCATGCTTACATTCTTTACTTAAAATACATTCATAAAAACAAGTTTATACTTTGAATTTCAACTCTTTGGATTTAATACAAATATTATAATTCAAAAATAAGGATTTAATGTTGTTGGAACCCAATGAACGTTTTATATTACTTTTTAAATCTGAAAGAGTATGATCATTATTTAGTAGAATCACATTCCACTTTTTAAATAGTAGTATATATTTTACTAATGACAAATTGTGGCTACACAAGTTAGAGCTAGAACATGAAACATTATGCAGGTTTATGCCTTGTTGACTTGCCATTGATTTTGTTTCTTGCACCCAGAAATCATGAGCCTATCCCAAACAGTTGGTGCAGGGTTGATGATGATAATTATGAAATTTGTGATTTTTTGGGCACCTTTTCTATTTAAGTTCATTCTAATGGCTTATTGTACTTGCATAATGATTGAGGCTCTGGCCACAACGCACATTATCACATAAGTGCTTTTATTACATCTTTCTTTAATGTGCAATTATACTCTTTTTTTTTCATCTCCCCCATTTTTCCTTAAAATCATCATCATCATCATCATTAGCTTCTCCCAACTAGTTTTGGTTGGCTTGATGAATCTTCATTTTTTTTTTTCGTTTCTATTTAGTGCTTACTCATTTTTTTACTTAAAATGTGCAACATAGTTAAGCTAAAACTACTAATGCATTTACTTGAATATGGATAAGAAATTTATTTCATGTGAAACTATAACATCTAACTTGGTTTTCCAAAATCCTTCTGTAGACAAACTCCAGTTTGATTGAAGGTTGTTGGCAACTCATATTCACTACAAAGCCAGGAACGGCATCTCCCATTCAAGTAAGAAAGACAAAACAATGCTTGTTCCAGCAGCTATTTTCCCTGTAAATTTACTTTTGTTTTTTTGTTTTCCAACAAAGGAGAAATATGATTGAGCAGAAACAAGTTTATAGTGTTGTTAAAAAGTAAAAGATATTATTGATTAAATTCCTTGCTATCCTTTCTTACGTTCAAATTATATTGAATGATAATCATCATTTTTCACCTAATTAGATTTTGTATTATCACCTTTGAATGCAGTATCATAATTGCTCAATCTCTTTAACATCATACAACTTACTTTCTTCATGATTACAATAATTTTTATGATCACTTTATCATTAACCTAATAGATCAATGTTTTGTTAATGGATATTTCCAGTTGCAGGATAAGATAATTGTGATTTTTAAGTTGGCTTTGAAACAGATTGAAACAAAAGACATGGGTTGTTGATACTATCTTTTATGTATTAGAAAAAAATTGATAGGTGAAATATTATGAGTAAAACTAGACTTTTAAAATAACTTGTATATTCCATGCAATGATCATTATATTTTTCATCAGGAGAAAAGGATCAAAATGATCCCCAATTATTTTGAGGGATTAATTTGGTCCCCAACTATTTAAAATGGGACCATTTTAGTCCTAACATTCAAACTAATGGATATTGAACTTAATGGTGTTAAAAATAAGTGTATTTTAGTTATTTTTAATTAAAATTATTATTAGATATATTTTTTGAGTAATTATAAATTTAAAAAATATATTAATCGTTTGTTTAATAAGAAAAAATTAATAATATTTTTAGTTATAATTTTAAAAATTTTAGTCATCTTAGGGATATCCACTAGCTTAATTATCTAATTATTATTATAAATATTAATAACTTAAATAATTATATAACTACTATTATTATTTTGATTATTAATTATCTAATTATATAATTAATTTTTTAAATTTATTAATTTATATTAATTAAATTACATAAATTAATTCCTAAACGATTTGCTACTCTTTCTTCTCTTTCACGTTATTCATTGTTGTTGGACACGATAGGGTTTTGAATGAGTCGTTAAAGCCTTTCTTCGCCTCTTTCGACGACGTTCCTTCCCGTCGAATTGGAATTTGCAAAAGTTTGCCGACATAGCAATAGGAGGGTTTTGAACGAGTCACTTACGCCCCCTTCGACGATGCTCTTTCTTGTGGAATCGGAAGTCACTAATGGGAGCTCACTCGCTGTGAACCTAACTATCATTGACCCTTTTTTCGTATTATTGTTTTTATCATTTTTGTGGTTATTTCGATCATACCCTCGCTGCTATCTGAAATTGACTTTATTTTTAATGCATGATCAAAATGGTCCCATTTTAAAGAGTTTATGGACTAAATTGATCCCTTAAAATAATTGAGGATCATTTTGGTCCCTCCCAAAGAGTTAAGAGACCATTTTGGTCCTTTTATCTTTTTATAAGATTGATGAGTGATCAAAATATCATGAAAATTGTCAAAACTCGATCCCAATGAATATCATTGTCAAGTATTGTTATAGGTCATGTGATATTACCCCACTTAGATGCATGTGATCATATATCTCCCATGTTTGACTCTTGTTGTTGGTTTATGTAATAATTGTTTGATCTCTTAGCTCTTATCAATATTTATGTTAATTTATTATTATGACATCTAAACTAGGTATAAAATTCATAAAATCATTTAATATCATACTACATATAAGGAACTAGTGATATTTTGTTTGTCACGTGAATATAGGAGGATTAATTTTTGAGTATTGTAAATTATATTATTTGTGATATTGTATGATTTTATGTTTTAATTTTATTTTGTGTAATGAAATTAATTCCGTTATAATCCGCACAATATTGGGCATCATCTTTATTCTTAAAAATAGCAATCAAACACTCATTCTCCACTCATCTGACATCTTTTTAGTCTTCAAAATAATATTGAAAAATTTTGTAAGCCAAAAAATTCCTTCATCTTCTAAGCATTTACACACCTCTTTTGGAATATCATTATGTACAATAGCTTTTCCACACTTTATTTTCTTTAAAGCTTCTCCATATCATATCTAAAGAAATTATCCTAACATTCCCATGTGGTCGTATGCCTTGGATCCTCCACCATAAGAATCCCTAGTTTCAATGACCTGTGTTGAGCTCTATAGCTAGCTATGGCCTAATCCCTTGGCCAACCCCTTTCTTTCAACCGCCATCTCAAATAAAATTATTCGAATCACTCAAGAGTGTCCCTATCCTTTGGCCTCTAAACCACTTAGAATTTAATCAAATACACCATATCAGTGAAAATCTTGGATCACCCCTTCCAAGGCTACATCACTTTGGTAAGTAGTTTCTTATAAGTGGAGTGCACTAAGCAGAATAGGACAGAGATATCAAAGGCATACTTTATCTTATTGTATCCCTAAGCACTGCAAGGAATAATCAAGATAACTTACAAACTTTCATCTTGGTTGACAAATTCATTTATATACTTGACATGCATATGAGTATGACCAATAAAGAATGCTACAAAAAATATGATGCATGATTATTTGATGGAATTAATTCTAAATGTAGTTCCAAATTATATTGCAAACTCTTTAAAAAAAAAATATTGCAAACTCTTTTATGAAATTCAATATGCTTCATGAAGTCCTTTCTATAAGTTGGCAATTCAAGGAACATACAAAACAACACTAGGTAATTCATCAAGTGAAGTAGCTGCTACTTTCAGCTATTAGCTTCTTAGCATTTAATTTAAATTTGAATTGAAACTCAGATCCAATTCCCTATTTATATTCATGCTCAACTTCTGGTTGAGGTTAGTGTTGATTCAGATTCGACCTTGGGTTCATTTTCAAGTTTTGGCTCATGTGTAGGTTTATGATGAAATTAACTTCAATGTAAATCAATGAAACTGGAAGGAATACCTCAGGAGATTTTTTTTTCCATATTATTTTTGAGTCAAATTATGTGAAAAAAGTTTGAAGATCTTTCATAACTCCCTTAAGCTTCTCATCTATGGATTTAACTTCAAGCTCAGTTGTAGACCACATTTAGGAGCAAATGACATACTTTTGTTAAGGATGTACTTAATTTCATTTCGAGATATTAATATGGCCTTTACCATAGTATTCTACACATTCTCTATTTCTTCCAACATTGTTTAGCTCCTCTGATCATAATTAAAAGAAACATGCACTTACTCGATTTCACATTATCTTTTTGCAGGTTTAAAAATCACTTCCATGTTATATTGATTGTATTATTTAATATGCCATAGTTTTGATATGCTCTTGATTATTTTGTATGCTTTAGAGAACATTTGTGGGGGTCAACAGTTTCAAGATTTTTCAAGAGGTTTACCTTAGGACCAATGATCCAAGGGTGACAAACATTGTACAATTCTCCGATCAAATTGGTGAACTTAAAGTAGAGGTACCCTCACTTCCTTCCCTGTAGCATGTACGCACTTTCTCTTGTTTTTTTTAATGTTTACTATAAAACTAATAGAGAAGAGCATAGAGTAAACCAAAAGATGTTACTGGGTAGTTTTGTCAGACGGCAATATTATCTCCAATAAATTCAGTTTTTTTCTTTTGTGCATGCTTATTTAGTGTTTTGTACCTTCGAACCAGTGAGAAGAAATATATTTTAATAACCAAGTTCTTGTGTGGTTACATTCATTGTTATGCACTATTTGGGAATATAATACAATCCAATACACAAGAGATGGAATTTTTGTTTTTTTTAATAAATATTTTTACCAATTAATTAAATGAGTACTGCAGATAAATATTGTAATCAATCAATGAAATAAGTACAGCAAGAAGCAATGACAAAGAATTCCTGTAGATTAAAAGGAGAAAACAAAATCCACAATTAAAGATAGAATGAAGACTAGATGAAATTATCCCTTTGATGGATGAGGAGAACCCCAATAACATTCATTGCATGCAACTTGCTTATTATTGGTAAGCCTTAGTGATAGGCAATATATATATATTTTTTAATTTCTGCCTCTGTCAACAAATCATATTTGAAACCTTTGCACATTAATGCTTCGTACTACCATTAGAATCATAGCATTGCTCAGAGTCTGTTACACCAACATCCTCAACGATAGTATGATCATGAAAGTCTAGTGCATCCAGGGGATATGGCTAAATAACCTTGCTAGCAAGTGTGATGCCACCTACATTCAAAGGGCTAATGACAACAATGGAAGGTTTTGATTCCATGACAATATCTTAAGTTTGCTCCAAGTTTTGGGTGCAAGCCACATTTGAATATGAGAATTTGCGATCACTATATTTGAAGGATTGTTCTGGCCTTTTGTAAGCTCCCATTGTTCATAGTTGTAAGGACTAAGGATATTTCCTTAGCTTTGGGCAAACTTTGATACATCCCGATTAATTATGAAAACCCTTATGCTCCCCTTGTATTATAGTCATTTATTTTGCACAGAGTCACACAAGAAAGTAAAAAAAAAAAAACTTTTGTATGGAATTAAAACCTTGCATTTTTTCTACGTACGAAGTCCCTTTGTCTTTTCTTGCAACCCATATGCCGAGCCTCTCCTTTCCCTCAGCTCTTCACATTTGTTCTCTCCTCCAACATAGTTCATCATGACTTCACACAAGGTATATAAATAGCATTTTTGGTCATTCCGTGTGATGTTTGCAGCAAAATTTCTTCCTTAAATACAATTCTATCTTTATTGGCGTGATGTTGTTGGCCACCTGTTGAAATCTACAAGCCAACTCAGTCGAATGAGATGATGACAATGATGGAAGAAACATGGACTTTTAAAAGAAATAATTTAGAAATATTCAAATTGTGGCTGGCATTGTAAATGACGACTTAAAATGTTCACAGACATGTAAGAGAGCGAATGTGATGAAAATAGAGCCCAATGAATATAGTTTCACTTGAAATTGACCCAAAACACATTGATGTGAAAGAGTGCTCACCCCATGCTCACTTATCCAAGCGGAGGATTTGCAGGTACATGTACATATCTTCAAAATAATAAGAATAATATTTATGAAATTAATTTAGGTAATATGTATAATTCCCGATTGAACAATAGTGTTGGAGCCAATTAAATATATATATATATATATATATATATAAAATTTTATTAATAACAAAATTAACTTGCAAAAAAAAAAAAAAGTTAAATAATAATTTTGTGGATAACACTATTGTTCACTCGGGAATTATTGGCTCCATAAGGAGAACATACATGAAAAATAGAGGGGATGTGGGCCCCCAAGAGATACAAGCTCCTTTAAATAGTGCTATAGGAAGAACATACAAAGTCAACTTGCTAAAAAAATAAAATGAAGTTATAATAATTTTGGGGATAACACTGTTGTTCACTCGTGAGTTATTGGCCCCACAGAGAGAACATACACTTAAAATAAGGGGGTTGTGGGCCCTCAAGAGGTACAAAAAAATGCAACTCCTTCAAATAGTGCCTTGCTCATATAAACTAAATATTTTAAAATAAAAATAAATTAAAACATATGTTGCTGTCAGTGCCATAAGGCACGTCCAACAACATTCTCTCTTAATTCTCTTATCTTCTCTTTGTGTACTCCTCCGCACTAGCTCCCAGTTAGCCCTCTATCTCCCATTTCCTTTGTTTGTCTCTATCTATCAATACCTTGCACACAATCTCACTCACTCGCGAACACCTTGTGATAGGCGAGTAAAAATTATGAGGAAGACTTTGATTTCCTCATGGTCAACCGATTCATGTCATTTTGATGGGGTTAAGCACCTATTCTTAGTAGATTTTTAGCACACATCCTAATATACGTAAACGTTTTTATTCGTATGGTGGGAATGAGTCTTAGACTGTGATGTCTTGTGCACCACACCTGAGGAGCCTTTATTGGCGCAGAGGGGTGGCCCATGTTCACCACCCCTTTGCGGCGGTGATTAAGAAGTGCTTTCGAAACTCACTAAAAAACTTTTGACCAAAATAGGGGGAACACAAGGACAAAATTTGACAAGTTTCACTATGAATGCAAGTTCCTGACCACAAGGAATGCAAAAACCTCATTGAAAGCGTGCAAATAAAAATAAAATTGATAGAAAATTATTTTTACACAATTTCTAAGAACTTGCCAGCTATAAGGGCACATATATGATTGAAGTTACATATGAAAATGAATAACATTGGGGCATTGAAAGGTGTGCCAAAGGTTCAAAATGTAAAACTTTGCAAACAATTTGAAGAAATCTTCATCATTAATAATGAACGAAATTTTGAACTGAAAATAATTCCAAAATAGCACATGTCTTTCAATGAAATATTTGGCATAAATCAAGTTACATCATAAGAGTGTAACATGCTTTTTTTTGCAAATATGACATTCTCTCAATCTAAAAACATGTGCAAACTCATTTCCCATCCTATAGTCGTCCACACCCCTCTTTAATGACTTTTTGTCATTGCATCAAACTCGATTGAGAGTCTGAAATATGGTAGCTAGTATTTTCTTAAGCACAAAAGTATGAAAAAATATAATAAAAAATAGGCCAAAAATAAAAAAAATATTAATTTAGGGATACAACAACAATGACATCAACCCTTTATCCCACTACTTGGGGTTAGTTACATGAATTTTTTTTCTCCATTTTGTCTTATTAAGAGGAAAATTCTTATATAATTATAATTAAAAAGGTTATTTCTTATAGTTTTTAATCAATTTTTTTTAGGTATACATATACTTTTTTAACATAGGCCAAATCTAATATATCTACTCTCCTAACCGGGTCATCGAAAGGCTGACGTTTAATGTGACCAAACCATCTAAGGTGACTCTCTCTAATCTTATCTGCCACTGAAGCTAATCCAACCGCCGGTGGAGTTTTGGATTGCATCTCAATGAGCATCTTCATCATCTCCTCCAACCCCCCAAATCGATTCTCCATTAGAGTCTCCATGTTTGAAAAATTTTCTTCGATGGTTGAGAATTTCTCCTCTACCCTAGATTTTAATTGCTCCATTTCGCCTTTCAACACATCCACCTTCTTTGCTGCCATTGTCTAAAAAAAATCTTTCTATGATACCAATTTGATGCATTTTTGAAGTAAATAGATAACAATTAGAAAACTATAGGAATTTGAAGATAGGGGCTGATTTTGGTTAATACTTCCACAATAATGAAATATACAATTGATCTATTCGAGAGGTAGATAAATTCTCCCACAAACTCTAGACACCGCTATGAGTGGAAAAAAAGCTTAGCAATGTTTCAGAAGTAAGTTAGAAGATAATTTCTAGTGGGAAAGAATATTTCAATAAGATCAGTTAATAGCAACTTGGGCTTAGAGATTGCTTCATCATACCAGTCTTAGACGGCACAATATAAGCAAACGATAATATGAACCGTATCAATAATTTTATGAGCAGATAAATATATTGCTGATAGTTTAGGAAGTTATTATGATGTAGAACTACGATGATTGCAATGATTTTTGTTAAGATTTTGCACAACTTCTTGATTAAAGAAATAACAAATAAATCTACTAGCAAATAAAACGACGAATCAAAACGTAAGAGGGGTCACTACCGTTTAGACTAAGTTGCATAACAAAAGATTTGAAGCTTCAAATATCGTAAGAAATTAAAATCATGCCAAAGTAGTAGTGTCAACAAAATCCCTAGTCTAACATTGAGATTAGTAAGCAAATAAATGCGCTCAAATTCCTACGTTTACTAAGCTTAGCAGAAACAGGCGAAGGCATCATTCGTGACTATAATCAAATCACAAGAAAGGGTTAGGCTTAAGAAATACAAGAAGAGGGAGATGTGAAAACCTTCGTCAAGGGTCAGTTGCAATCCTCTACTTGACGATCTCAAGTTGTTCTTCAATAGCCTCAACCAAGGTGTCCAAAATGCGCTTCACCTATTCTTCGACGGTGTGATCGATGCTGGGGTTGACGTCGAAGAAGATCGAGTGCAAGATGCAAACAAATCCGTGTTCGTCATAAGAGAGACCGTAATCAAGATCTGGATTGGCCATGCATCGATCTTGTGGCGTCGAAGTATGGACGGAAGTGTTCCTTTGCTGTCCTTGCAATTTTCCTCAAGAATCCAAGTGGTGGAAGGTGGTAGAGGGTGGTCGGCCACAAGGGGATTGCTAGGGAAAACTAAGTTCAGATTTTGGTGGAGTTTGGACTGAATTTAGGAGGGAATTTTGGAGGGAGAGCTGTAAATAATTTCCAAATCAAAAGATTCTTGAGTTGGAAAATATTTAGAGAGAATATGAGAGATGATGGAGGGCGGTGGGGCTAGAGAGGAGATTGGGATTTAATTCCAAATGTAGAGAGGTAATTTTGGAAAGGGATTAAAGGGGGTGGGACCTTGGGATTTTCGGCCAAGGGGATGAGGAGGTGATTTGAATTCTTTCCAAAATAACCAATTGGGTTTTGGAAACAAATCCCAAAGGGGAAGCTAGTGGGGTTGGCGGCAATAGGAAGAGGAGGTGGGATTTAATGAGGCAATCAAGGCTTCTTTAAATTAATAAATTAAATTTGGGAGAAAGATCTCATCCCAAATTAATTTAAAATTTAAAGTCTATGATTTGGAAAGTTTCCAAAATTAGGATTTCTAATTTAGGCAATAATTTCAAATTCAAATAGATTTGAATTTTATTTTTAATTGCATTACCTAAAATATAAAAACTAAATTAGGAAAGGTTTAATAGCAAGGGAGTTGGGAGGGAGGCCAAAGAAGGGGCCGGCGGCAAGGTGGAGGGGCTGTGGATGGTGAGGGTGTCGAACCTAGCGGTCGGGTGGGAAAAACAAGGATGGCCGGCGGCTAGACAAGGGAGGGAGGTAGTAGGGCCGGAGGTGGTGGTGGGAGGAGGGAAATACAGAGATAGAAAATAAAACCACGAACCCGACTTGTCTAGATTGGTGGGTGATACGCAATCTTCCCTCTCCTTGGGATCTTGCTCCAAACTCTCAAGCTCACATGAGAATTCAAACAAGAAAACAAAATTTTGTCATTGCTTTGAAAGAGAAACAAGTGGCTAAAATAGCCTCGTACATAAGACTCAAATTAAAAAAGACGACAATGCCCTCAGGGCTTACATACGACATCCTTTAATAAAAGGGTACAACGGGAAATCAAAATAAAACAAATACAACGATATCATAAATAAGAACATACATAAAATTAATTAAAAGTACAATAACTCAATCGTGGTCGTAGATCGGCGGCCACGCCTCTTATAGACCTTTCATGATCTGATGTCCCCATCATATTATTATTGCCAGAAAGAGTGAATGGAAAGTTATAAATAAGAAGTTGATTGAATGTTTTTTTACTGCTTTGGTCTTTTCCACAGAAAACGTCTTGAAAAAAAAAATCAGGTGCTGAAGCCTCATTGGCTTTGAATTAAATATTGAAAATTTGCACTTTTATGAGGCCAAGATAAACAACAAACCCAGCTCCGTCTCCTTGTGGATGTCGCAAATTGCTCGTCATCTTCTGTCTTGCTCACATCAAAGCATGCTGTAGCACAACTCCTCCTAGCCTGCTCACAAGCGCTTGGGTTGTCTGCCTCGCTTGCGTCGTCTGGCTCGCTTGCATCTCCCTCTACGCAGCCTCACCTTACACAAAGGGCTCTAGGGCGTATTGCGGGAATGCTTCGAGGGCTTAGCGGAAAGCGTCGAGCAAGTGTATTACCTAAATGCCCTGAATCTCTCCAGCTCTTTCTATTAATTTAAACGGCCAGGGACCAAATTGGCTCAATTTTCAATAATCGAGGGACCATAATGGAGCGATACGAAACTCTGGGAGTAAATTAGACATTTATTGATAGTCGGGAGACTATTTTGAGCTTTTACTTGTGGGAGAATTGTAACTACCCTAATTTCAATACTCCATTAGGAGTGAGGATGTGGTAGACAACAGTCAAGAGCAAAGCCTTCAAAAGATGTAGCCACCTGAATTAGCTCTAGAGACTCAAACCACAGCCCTATGCTTGTAAATTGTCACTCAATTTGTGTAATATATTATTTAACAACTATAATACTGACTTATATATATATATATATATATATATATACACTGATTTAAAGGAATAAACTTGGGACTTGTGGACATGATCAAGGGAGTCACTAAAGCCTAATCACTAGCTTTGATGCCACTTGTAGGGGAGATAGCACACCAACTATAAACCTCTACAACAGGGTTGTGTGATCGAAGATCCTTTTATCCTGATTTAAAGTAGACTTCGTTCTCCTTATTTATTTTTGTTGATGATGAAATACTTCTACAGTTATCATTGTAGAATGTCTGTTATTGAGGATATTCATAAGCAAGTTCAATTTGTTTTAATTTTTTTCCCTTTCAGGCTGCAGCTACAATTAAAGATGGAAAGAGAATCCTTTTTCGGTTTGACCGAGCTGCTTTCACCTTTAAATTTTTGCCTTTTAAGGTTCCATACCCTGTGCCATTCAGGCTTCTTGGGGATGAAGCGAAGGGGTGGTTGGACACAACTTATTTGTCAGCAAGTGGAATTATTCGAATTTCAAGAGGGAACAAGGTATTCATGCAATAAATCTTTATAATGATTGTTATTTTAGATATAAATATCTGTCCATTTTCAGTAGACTAAAGCTATGGAAAAAATCTATAGTGCAGGGGACTACATTTGTGCTACAAAAGAAACTTGAACCAAGGCAAAAATTGCTGCTGGCAGTGTCTTCTGGGGAAAAAATAGCAGATGTGTGATCACCATGAGTTGACCTATTATTTTTTGTTATACAGCTTTCATACTAAAGGGTTACCTCATTATCACTAATATAAATATCTCAACAGGTGATAGATGAAGTCATCTCATCAAGGCAGAATAATGTCATTGCAGATTTAGAAGCTCTAGAAGGAGAATGGAAGTTAGTGTGGTCTTCACAGGTTCTAGATGAGAACACTTTCATTTAATTTGTTAATTTCCATTTACAGTTTTAATGAACAATAATATATCAAGATGCTAAAATCTGTGTAAGTAGACCTTCTATTTAGCAGTGTCGTAACATGATCATCATCGTGCAACTTTATAGTACTTCTCTGTTCATTGTTGTTCAAAATATTGTTGTTTATTATGCTACAATGCATTACTACGGAGGAAGCCCTTAGGCATAAGGAGGCAAGTCCACAGAGGATGCTAGAGGCAGAGCAACTGATGCTGAAAATGCTATGTCTAGTGCGGCAATTGATGTGGTGAGAGAATAAATGACATAGCTAGAGGTTGTGAGCTTGGCATAGGTTGTAGCTATTGAACGCACGCACCACAATGTGAGGAAAAGTGAAGGTTTTAGGTCTAAGTCTCGACTATAAAGTTTACTGACTTGTGATGACTTGGAAGGAAGCAATATGTATAACACAATATAAAAACTATGTTTATAATCTATGATATGATCTTGAAGAGTGTAGGATATTCTTTTAGTTTATTTTGAAGGGGAGTGGAGTATATTTCTAGCATTGCTTTATTCCTAAGTTCATCTTACAGGCCTATATATACAAGAGAAGTCCGATGTGACTCTGATATTGCACTCTCGACATGTGCTCTGCTCTGACTGAATAGCCTGAGCTCTATGCATGCCTGCCCGCATAGCTTTCCCCCACACCCTTCCTTTGGCCATCACATGCCTTACACGCGATGCGCCTGATCGCATGCCCGCTTCCTCCGAGTTCATTGCCTAGCCCCGCGGTTCCAACCCGAGGCCGCCCGTCCGGCCCACTACCACACCTCATGAGTCTGCCTGCTCGCCGAACTTCTGCCTCTCTTCACGTGAATGAAATTGTTGTTGCGAACGATCGTATGTCACAAGCCGGTTCCGTCTGCGTTCCACACGACGATTGACTACGCGCGACACCAGACTCTCGCGACAAGCTTGCTTACTCGACCTGCACCTTGCTCATGTCGCCCGATTGCATACCTGCGGCCCTTCTCTGTGTTCGCAATCGAACTGCAACCGTCGTGCTACCCCTTCTTCGTTTCGTTTCTTGGACAAGAACTTTACTCCTTCGAGATCACCTCAACGAGACTTTGATACCACTTGTTATGCAATTCTTGGGAGGAGGATAGCTCTTCTTGAGCTTATTTGAAGAAAGAGAGAGGTGGAGGGAAGAGAAGGAAAGAGCTTGCACAGGAAATCTCTTATTCCTTTATTCAAATGGGCTATTACAGGGGTGATCATCACAACAACCTATACAACCTATATATAGGAATTGGACACTGGTGTGGTGTCTTTGCGGAACAACTAACCTAAACTGGACCAAAATCCAACACTTCGATTGACGATTTGTCTTCTCTAGGGGACTACTAGTGATGTCTTCTTCAATATTGATTGTGTGATACATGAATCATTATTATTAAAAAAAAAAAAAAAAAAAAAAAATCTTTGTTAAGAAAACATATGATCAAGTTACTCAATCTCTTGTTCTTTTCACGATTTGATGCCTCAAATTATGAGGAAAATTCTTCTTATAAACTCCTTTGAAATGGAATATTGAACAGACTTTGCCCTTCATAATTCAATCCCTAGATCTTGGGTCCCCTTTTAAGAGGGCTTTGCTCGTATGAAATCATAGCTTTAGGTAGGAAAAAACTACCTTTTCGGTTGTCCAACTATACATCTTTGTTGTTTTTGCCTAGTGATATTGTTGGAAGATTTTCAGAGATTTTAGAAACTTCTCTTGGAAACTTGAATTTTGAATCATCTTGAAATTGGGTTAGCCTTTCATTTTTAGGAGCCTAACCTTGTTTTGTTACGTAGATTGACTGATTCCATGTTTAAGCTTCCTCTTTCTGAGCATTCACTTTTTTCATCGTTTGAACATAAAAGAAAAGAAATAAAAAAGAGAATTTATTTACACTTTGTCGTTAGAAATGAAGAAATTTCTAAACCCTTTTTTTTTCTCTTGTAGACTTTCTTCTTTTACCAACAAAGGCATTTATCCTTAGAGTTAAATCATGGAAGGAATTTGTATAAAAATGAATAAAGTTGAAAACCTACCTTCTTTCTCGTTCTTCTTCCTCTCGACACAGTTCCCCCTCAACACGAAGCTTTTCACGTGTTTTGCTCTTACGGGAGTGAGCGAACTGAAGTTATTTCTCACGAGGATTCGTTAGTTTTCACTCCCGTACGCAAATATTCACTTAGAATCACGATTCGACCTCGTGTGGAAGGTTCACGCACACTTCCATGCTGCATGTTGGTTTTGCATGCTCACACCCATATATGCTCATGCTTAAATGTTCACTGGCATGTGCATGCATGCATGCATAGGACATGCACAATAACTTAAGACAACCATGTACTCATACGCATAGGCACATACGTAAGTGAACGCTTAGAACAACAAACTTGTTTGTAAACTCGTGGATGCACATGACAGCATGCACACATATACCAACTCATAACATTTGTGTGTGCACGCACTCAACAAAGGCTAAATTTGTTGCTATTGTCTACTTTCAAACTAAGAATTAATTAAATGCAACTGCAACTTATAGGGGAGCTCTGCAACTTTTGTTAGTTCCCTTAAGTTATGTAAGTTTATTGGCTTGCTACCTTATGAAAAATTATGAGATTTAAAATTTCACATGAATGTGGTTTTCCATATTGTTATGGGGTTTTCCTGTGTTGTCAATTCTGCCAATTGTTGCTCTTTTTATGGCAGGCAAGCGATGAGAGCTGGAAAGTTGCTACTGCTAATGGTTTAAAAGGTTTGCAGGTCAGTTTTAAGTAAGCCGAATCTCTTAACCAAGTTTCTATGTTGCATTATTATTTTTGGTATAACCTTGTACATCTTCTAGCAGCATTGGTATTTTGGTTCTAACAGTAGCCTTATTGATAGATTGTAAAGAAAAATGGCTATCTGGAGAACCTCGTGACTCCTTTTCCAGGATTTAGATTCTGTGCTATTGGCAGTATTGTGTGAGTTATCTGAACTTAAAGTTTGGCATTTTTAAGATGATAATTTGATACTTTTATTTGCATCTTAAGGAACATAATACTTAGAAGTACAATGGAAATATGGAGTATTGCTTCTATAGAAATTACTGAAGTGAGTGAATGATATTAAACTGTCATATATTATCACTAGTGTAGATGAAAATAAAATGGTCTTCAAATTGGATTTGTGTAGTGACTTTAATAATATTATTGCCTTAAATGAAATATATTTAGACAATACTAAATCACACTCCGATTTATTTTTTGAATTTATCAACTTCAATTTGATTGTCTTCTCCCCCTTAGGGTAGAGCAATTTATTTTTCAATCTGATTGGTGTAGACTATCATGCATGTTTTAATGTCATATCTGATGTAGTTTTAGATTTTAAAAATGAGATTTCAAATCATTTTATAATTGTAAATTTTTTTCTTCATCTAATTCATAATATAAACAACATTCATAAATAATTCTTCAATAAGATCAAATTTGACCATGCATTATTCTCATGTTGTTGTTTGTGCATTTTAATACTTTAGAGATGTTAATATTTTTAAAGAAATATTAATAGGAGGATAGTTGTAAATTTTTTTAAGAGAAAAGGACCAAGATGATTCCTTGACTCTTTATGAAAGGTCAAAATTATCCCCAACTATATTAATTGATCATTTTGGTCCCTCAACACTTTAAAGAGGAACCAAAATAGTTCAACGATGGAATTATTTTGTTTCATTTTTTAAGGACTTAAAAGGGCCAAAATGATCTTTTAATATAGTTTATGATCATTTTGATTCTTCACAAAGAGTTAAGGGACCATTTTGATCATTTTCTCTCTTTTTTTTTTTAATTCTAAAGCTCTATAGTGTTATATTTGGAGGATTTTTAGCTTACTTGAAGCTAATTTTTTTTTTAATTTTGATCTTAATGAAATAAATATTGATAAGATTGGGCCTTCTTTAAAATTCTTGAATTAATCAACTAGTCAAAATAATCAATGAACAAAAATTGTTGTTTGTATCAATTTATGTAGATTTTGTTCTAGCAATAATATTTTGTTCTTCTTAGGAAAGAGGTTAGCCTAGAGAATGGAACTCGGGGTCATGGGTTGCAACAATCTCCTCCTTTTTGATGATGTCAAATGATTTGTTGTAAGCAAGTACGAATGACATTTTTTTTTGTTTTTTTTTTTAAATTTAAACACAAGAAAAAAGAAAGATACTAAATGCAAGTACAAAATAAAAGAAATGCATTCAACAAAATATAACAAGCGCAACAACAAGTACAACAAACTTCTCCCCCTTTTGACAGCACAAAAAGGAGGATCAACTAAAGCAGAAAGCAAAAGAAAGAAACTACAATACAAATACAAATAATCTAAACAGAAGAGTCCTGATAAGTTGGTGATGGAGATGGATTCGGTTGAAAATATTGAAAGAGAGCATCAAATCGGTGATCAATTGCAGTAAAGCGTTCTCCAAACCATTGCATATCTGTCTCGTGTTGCTGATGTTGTTCTTGAATATGCGTATCGAGACGAGTCTGCAGTTGGTCGAAGCGTGCGACCAAATCATCGTTAGGGTGTGCTGGTGCAGGTGCTCGGGGTGCGGCATGTCGGGTGCGACATGTCGTCGTGGTCGAGCTGGAGCTACTGCTGGGGCATCTTCTCATTCTTCTTGGTCAAAGACTGGTTCTTCAGGCTCTTGTCACCAATTAAAGAGAATACGGAAAGAGGCATCCGTATAAAAGATAGGAAGAATGTCGGGTTCACCATGGTAGATCAATTGATATTTATGTTGGAGGATATATCCTATTAAGTGACTAAGAGCTAGATTTTGTTTCCGTCGAGTGGTAGGTAGGCGAACAAAAGTCATGTGGCGAATGTAGTTACTAATTAAATCAACCTCGTCGAATTTTGTGTTGGACATAATAAGATAGGTAGCGACGGATAAGGTCAGGGTCAGATTGATATGGTCGCCACCTTTGGGTATTATTGAGGTTCGAAGGGCATGTTGAATTATTCGGGCATTTCGAGTTAGGGATTGAACGAGAGGTTGGTGTTGATGGAATAATACCCAAAGGTGGCGACCGTATCAATCTGACCCCGACCTTATCCGTCGCTACCTATCTTATTATGTCCAACACAAAATTCGATGAGGTTGATTTAATTAGTAACTACATTCGCCACATGACTTTTGTTCGCCTACCTACCACTCGACGGAAACAAAATCTAGCTCTTGGTCATCTAATAGGATATATCCTCCAACATAAATATCAATTGATCTACCCTGGTGAACCCGACATTCTTCCTATCTTTTATACGGATGCCTCTTTCCATATTCTCTTTCATCGGGGACTAAAGCCTGAAGAACCAGTCTTTGACGAAGAAGAAGGAGAAGATGCCCCAGCAGCAGCTCCAGCTCGACCACGACGACATGCCGCACCCCGAGCACCTGCACAGCACACCCTAACGATGATTTGGTCGCACGCTTCGACCAACTGCAGACTCGTCTCGATACGTATATTCAAGAACAACATCAGCAACACGAGACAGATATGCAATGGTTTGGA